TGTATATTTTGAATGTATCAAAAATTAATATCTATATTTTACATTTGATTGCTGAAAAATTCAAAGTTAAACATATTTAATTTGATTTTTGTTTATATAAAAGAAAAGTGTCTGTTATCACTCAATAGTAACTGGTGCTTGCTAATTATTTCTTACTTGAACATTGAGACTTTTGTTGTAGTTGATTTTCATATTAGTGAGGGAATTCTAAAATTTACAAAATCATAGAAATTCTTTTCTTAAGTAATTTAGGAAATTTGAAAGTAATTAAGTAGAATTTGCTGGTGCTTAATTCAATCAGTTTATAGTTAATCCTTTGAAACAATGTTGACCTTCATAATCTATTTTTGTAGGTTTCATTTTTTTTTTATGTATTGAGCTAAGAATTTTTGCAACAATCATTTATTATCTAATATCTGACTTGGATTTGAAATGAAATTTTCAAAATGAAAGTTTTCCTAGTTGTGAAATTTGGGTTGTAAATCTTGTAATTGCTCAGGCAGTGAATTAAAAGCATTAGGAGATTGTATTGTAATTTGACAATGAAAGTCTACCTTGGTATTGAGTGCATGTAGTTTAGATATTGGTGAACTGTTCATAGAAGAAAGTATGAAAGAACTTCTAAAGACTGACTGAAACATATGTGAGAAAAGTTGAAGAATTTATCAGCTAAAAAAAAAAGTAAATAAACAAAGATGACTACAATAGTAACAAAGAAAACACTTAATCTCAAGGACTTGAGAAAATAACAATATGGTGCACAAATTCTGATGAATATGTTTTTTCTTTTTTTACAGACTGTTCTTGTAGAATTTGCTTTTTTTATTAGTTAAATTAAAGAGCTGAGTAATAATTGTATCCTGAAAAAGAATGTCATGTGAAAATGTGCACATGTCAAAAAAAAAAAAAAAGATTTGAAATAAATGGATTTTTTTTTATTTATTTTTTTTTTTTGATGTCTAAAAGATTATGCTCACAATAGTTTTTGTCTGTCTTAAGGTCTCTTCCTATTTTCTGACTGTATTAGATGTTTCACTCATCCACATTATTTCTACAGTCTAATAAAACAAGTTTGAATTTCTCCTTTTCTTAGTTTGGTCATCTGCAATGATAAATTTTATTATGAATAATAATGAGATAATCTATAAGTTTTAAGAGCAGCACAAAAAACAACTCTTCATTGATCAAATATCTGAACTTAAATTTTAATCACTTTATGCTTCTCTGGTTAAAGTTAATATCTATCAAAGACTGGCTTCCAAAATGTTAGTGTAATATTGAGTCATGTCAGAAACTAATTCATTTTCTATTTTTTTTTCTGCCATTTGCTTCAATGGCCAAAGAGTGTATAAGTCCATTGTTGTGGTAAAAAGCTCAGATAATGAAATAAAACTTGTAATAAAATAATAGTGAAAAGGTTTCAAGTTTCAGAAAATGTTTTATGAAGTCATTACATTTTCTTATATTGTAGATGAAATCTTAATACTGTAAATAATAAATTTTCATTTTCAATATAGAAATAGCTTTAATATAATCTATTGTATTGCTATAATATATAGATTTTTTTTTTTCCCTTTTGTTGCTATGGTTGACATTGTCAGTCATTATAAATATCCTTTGTCCAGTTAGGGGATATTGTAGATTTGCAAATTGTATACAGACTTTTACATAACACAAATTCAACTGCTCTTACTGTCTTTTTATTTTTTTTTTTGTTTGATATTTTTGGATTTATCTTCATCTCTTTTTAAAAAAAGAATGCATAAAATGAAGAGGCACTGCTTAGGTTTTTTGTAGAACTCTTTATCCCAACTTACAAATGTTATAAATTATTGTAGGTACCTTCAAAGATTTAAAAAAAATGTCTTAAACTTAATAAAAATAGTGTTTTATTGTCAAAATTTTTGTTATTATTAGAAGGAAAGACTAAAGGATTTTTTCATTATTATATTTTTTAATCCTTTTTAGAACATTCAAAATTCTGGTTAAAATAATTTTTTCTTGCATCAGTGGATGGCTATAAATTAGCATGGGAAATTTTTTTTTGTCATGAAAAACATTGATTTGGAAATTCTTGCAAAAATCAAATAGTTGCTTTTTAATGAAATGTTCAGGACTTATTCACAAATGAATTAAATTATTTTAGAAAATTTTGGTAAAAAATATTCTTTTACGTCTGTTACCCCAAACTTATTTAATTTTGTGAAATTGAGAAAATCATTTTTGTAGAGCCTAATGTTTATATTAGTTATAAGCACAAGTCCTTAGAGAATTTAAATTATCAGTTTTTTTTCTTTATCAAACAAGACCTCCAGTTACAGCAAATCTGCTCTGAATCATAAAATAAAAAATGCAATAAAACTAAGTCATTATTTAATTGGAAAAGTTCTTAATTACTTCTATGAATAAGATATATTGTGGACACCAGTGCTGTGGCGTCTGAGTCGGAGGCAATTAAACGGTTACTGGAGTCGGAGATGGTAAAACTATATTGACTCTGACTTCAGTTGAATTTATGCTTTGTTATTACATTATAGCATTTTTATTGTTATTTCTTCTATGTCCTCTCAAAAATTTTATCTCTAATTCTGTTTAAAAAAATATTGAATAGGTATCATATAAAAGCCACAGTATCTTTATTCTTTGATATAAACCAGTTATAATGATATAGCCTTACTAAAGTTAGGAGCATATGCATAGGCTTTGAGATTTGTAGGCCATAATCACTTAATTACATAAAGAGAAGTCAGAGGTCCCAAAATAGTCAAAGGTTTAGTGTTCCAACTCCACAGCCCTGGTGGACACTATTGTCTTAAAAGTTTTTTTGATGAATAATGAAATTTTACAGGAATTGTTTTCATTTCTTTAAAAATTTTAACTAGAATATTTTATAAAGTTTTTGATCCTATAAAATTTGTATTAATTTGTACTGGTTAGGTTGATATTGTTATTAGAAAAGCTTACTACAATTCAGTGTCCCTCACTCCAGTATTTTAAAAAGAATTTTGAGGTTTTTTTTTTTTTTTTTTTTTGTGTGTGTCCATTTTTGTAAATATGGACATCCATACATGATATCGGAAAATAAGAGCAATAACTATAGTAAATTTAAAGCCAAAGTACCTAAAATTCAATAAAACATTAGATTACTTAGAATATTTTCCTAAATTTTTAAGATTACTGCATAGTTAAAAAAAGATTATATAAAAAAAAAAAGTTGCTCATGTTATGTTCATCAAGTAATTTTTATAGATATGTCCCCTGTCAAAAAATTACTTACACAATGAACATTTAGTTAACATAAATTTTCATTTTTGACAAGGCACTTTCTCCCGAAATATAAACTCTATAAGCATTACAAGAGCAGTTTATTAAAATTTGAAATCTTGTTTTAGATTAAAACCATAAAAACTTTATTTTTATTTCCTTCTAATCTAATGAACTGTTAATTTTAATTTACCCAAATGTTTTTCTGGGAAATAAATGTATATTCACTGCTCAAAAAATAATACAGTTATAATTAAAAACCAAAACTGAACCAATATGATCTGAGAGCAATACAATTTACAAAGTGATTATTTTGTACTTTGTGTCTAACTTTAAAGTGACAATTTACAAGCTCATCTGGCAGACAAATGTTGTATTTGGTTTGTTGTGTGCTGACCGACTGTTGTGACCTTGTGCTACATGAACAGGATATTTACTTAGGAAATATCAATAATTCCTTTCTAATCATTTAAAACGGCAACTCCTAAAATTATTTAATAAACTCTGATCAAAGAAATTGGCTGTGTCTTGTCTAAGTTTTCATTAATTTTTTATGACAATTATTGTTGTGATGAATCAAAAGTAATTCACAATAGTTTATTTTTGAATACATTTTTAACTGAATCTTGAATGTATGTGTAACTGATTTACTTTGAATTGCTGGCCTTTTTATTGACATACCAAAATGACAAATAATTGTTATACAGAAAACAACTTTAGTTATTTTGATGATTGTTTGGTTTGTTGTTGTTGTTCAGAATTGTTTTATTTTCTTTCTCTCTTTCTTTCTTTCTTTTTTTTTTTTTTTTTTTTTTTTTGCACACACATCGCAAAAGATCATTTGCTTTATTGGAATCTTATTCTAGAATTAAAATTTGCAAACGTGCAAAGAATTCTTAAACTTCATAGTGAAATGCTAATTTACCTTAAAGATAAATGTTTTTATTTTTAAAAGAAAAGATTATTTAATTATAAAAATATAGGTTACACAATTTGTTAATGTTTTTAAACAAAAGTCCTCTCATCATAAAAGACTTAGAAACCAGATATTCATGTGACTGTCTTTTTGAATTGTAGATTTTTTTTTATTTTGAGCACTTGTTACATAAATAAACTTCTGACCAGAGAATGTTGCCTGACAATTGTGTCTGATTATTCTATTATTGTCAGCAGCTGTTCTTCTTTAAAAGGTTATTGTCTTTTGCTTATAATTTCTAACTTGGACTGTAGTTGACATTAAATTGTAAAAAACTTGTTTTCACTGATTTGCTTAATTACGCAGCTTGAAAAGTTATTTACCAAAATAAATTTAATACTGTTAGTATTGATAGAGCATTGGAGTGGCGGCCACAGAATCTTGCTCTTATATATGTAGGTCATTTGATAACACATTTATGCAAAACTGATTTAGCTAGGTTGGGTGTTTTGTTCTGTAGACAATCCTGTAATGCTGTGAATATTTGTTACACCTAATAATGATTATCATGAACTTGAGTCCTGCATTTTATCAGTGGCTTTTTTTTTTCTTTTCTTTTCTGCTTTTAACTAAACTTTTTGTCTACTGAAATCGTTTTTTGTGGGTTTTTTAGGCCACTTGTGTGTGTGTTTGCTTTTTTGTAAACTTTGACTTTTTAAAAATATTTCAGAGTAATTAATTTCAAAGTAATGGCACCAATTTTTCTTTCTTTATTAGTAGAATAAAGTATTTGATATGTTTTTATTTTGTGCAATTTCAGAGTGAACAGCACCAAAAGTTAATATATTCTGGAAAGCTTTTAATGGATCATCTTCAATTGAAAGATGTCTTTCATCAAGTAAGTACTTCCTTACATTTTTTTTTTTGTTTCTTTGAAATATTTCAGAATTAAACAACACTTAGAAAAATCAAATATTGTGTGGATTGTCAACCTGATAAATTATTGAAAATAGATTGGTAACGTGATCTTTTTCAATCTCTTAAAAGAGGCTCGGTGTTCAATTCTGCTATCAACCAATGCAAAATGAATCCATTTATATACATTCCTTCCTTTTTTTTTTTTTTTTTTTTTTTTTTGTTTGATGAGCAGACAAGATTAGTTGGTCATGGTCCATCAGGATCATAAAGCAATTCTATATTTAAAGTAGCAACAATTAAAAATAGATTTAAATGAAATTTTGTCTTATTTTCATCTACTGTTTAAATAATACCTACCTAACTAAACAATTGTCATTAGAGCATAAGTAAGATTTCCTTTTTCAGCTGGTCTTCAGGTAATGGTATTAATATTTTGTACTGTTTATTTATTACAAAGTTTTATTGAACTAACAACAGTTCTTTCTGTTTTGTATCATCTAAAGTCTAAAGAGCAAATGATACTTGAGGTAGCCATACAATATTAGTCACATGCCCGCACACAGGTCATCACATTCTTCCCTTCTTTGAAGAAATCGTTTCCAATAACAAGGGGGGTTTTTTTATGACCTTACTGCACAGGTTGTTCCAAAGGCTCTGGTTAAAAAGATACTTAAGTGGAAGTTTCAGCAATTGGTCAGAGATCTGCAGAACTACCAGAAAATTCCCGTATGGCAGACAACGCCTCACCACATTGCCATTTTTGACAGGTTATATTTCAATCTCCAATTGGATCTAATGTTTCCAAATAAGTGATCCAGGAGACATATCAAACTTACACCAATATCTGTATGAAGGTCTGCTAGTTTCTCACAATGACATGTTATCAGTCAGCATTAAATCATATCTGTAGATTGACATATGTAACAGAAAATATATCTGATAATATTGTATGTTTCCTTGTAGCAAATCACTTTAACAAGTGAATCATATGTAGCAAATGTGCAAACAGTCATCCAGCATGACCTGTTCAGAAACATAACCAATTGAGTAAAGGCACTGATACTGGTACAAGGTTTCTAAATTCATCGTATTTGTTGCAGTACAGTACAGAAATTTGATTGAATTTAGCATGTCGGGCAATTTTATCGCACACACACACACACACACACACGCACACACACACACAGATTCCTGGATGCCAAAACATGAATGTATTCCTTAATTAAGTATCATGTTGTTCCTTCCCTTAAATGTTATAAGATGTCATTTTGCTGCTGACAACACAATAAAATAGTCGGCCAAATCGTGGGGGTAGAGGAGTGAGAGCTCCTGAATGCATACTGTGAATATCTGATATAGACATTGGATAACAATGGTTTATGTTTGGATACAAAAATACAAATGGAAAACTACAGTACTCATCTACTATTGTCAACATGAAGCATTTTCTGGAGGTAGAAACAAGATGACTTCAGATGTTCTATTTACACTGTCTGTGTAATTTTAAATAAAACTTCAGTGTGTAGAACTGAGGCTTTAGTTGGGCACATACATGCCATTCTCCTCACTTCACCAGAATAAGGAAAAGATTTTTCACCTTAATGAAACCAACACATTTAGTTATACTAGGACAGAAGAAATAAGTATTGGATTCGGAAAAACTGAAGTCCTGAAATTTTTGTTAAAATCAGGCACTTATTTGATTTTTGCAAGAATTTCCAAAACAATGTTTTACTTACTACAAAAAATGCTAAATTTCCCATATTAATCTTTGGCCCAGCCACTCAGAAAAACAAGATTTTTAATCCAAATATTGAATGTGCTAGAAAGGATTAAAAAATTTTATAAAAAAATACTTTGGTCTTTCCTCTTAATAATAGCATAAACATTTTGACAATAAAATTTTATTTTTATCAAATTTGGACCTTCTTTCATCATGGTATGTTATTTTTAGAAAGTTTTTGAAGGTACCTAATTTACTTTGCAAACACACACACACATTCTTCAGATCACAAATTTCATGTAAGTTTTTTTTGTATTTGATCAAATGATATTGAAAAGCATTAAAGTTCATTTTGAATTGATTAATAAATAGAATTTGTTTATTTTTTAAAAATATTTTCATTGTTCATAGATCAATTATATTGTTGACATTAAAAAATTTAAAGCACTGTAATTAATTTTTGCAGAAGTAAAGTGGCACATAGAGAAATATTATCTGAAAAATTGTTAAGTGAAAAATTTCTCAACTGTTAAAAAAAAAAAAAAATAATATAGCATTTCTTTAAAAATGAGAAATCTTATTGGACATTTATCCCTAACTGTAAGCAGACAATGACTGATTATAAATGGTGAGACATACAATAATAATGTAACCCAGCTAAAACAGTGTAAAAAGGCAGTTAACCTTTGTAAGCAATGAGTTTTTTTTTTTGTGGATATCAGCTTGCAGTATTTTTCATTGTGTACCTAGTTTGGCTGGATTTTGCAATTAATTTTGATTATTCCCAAATTTATTTCCAAGTTATAAAAATTATCATACAAAAAATATGTTCCAAAAAAATCGCTGAAAACAATCACAATAATGAAAACTTGGGAATCCAAAATTTCAAGATTACGAGTTGGGATCCAGTGTGGAATGTTTTTAATTTGCTCACGGAGTCAGTCTGATTCCAAAATGGTGTATGTTGAGCTACAACCTCTCAGAGTAAAGTTGAATACAGAGGCAATTTTATTTTGAAACACTGTAATTTGAAAACAGTAATTTTTTTTTCATTTAAACATGAGCTAGTTAGTTAGTTGTGTCCCTTCAATTGTTTTTATCAGTAAAAGCCAAGGTGATACAATATTGTTTTAAGGTATGCTATATTTATGGGTTAAAGTGGTCAACAATTGTATTTAGCATAAAACACTGTTGCCTCTGGTGTTGACTTCAATGTCCACTTTATATACATGCATATACATACACACACACACACACACACACACACACACACACACACACGTGTGTGTGTGTATATATATATATATATATAATTCTGAATAGATTTAAGATATTTCTACTTTCAAACTCTCTTATTGGTTCATTTTAGTTCAGCATGTAAAACAAAAATGTCAAACTGTGTATCTTTTTTAAGTAGTCAGATATTGAACAATTTTTTTAGATCACTTTATAGGTACCTCCACGAGATTGCTAAAAAAAGAGCATAGCATGATGAAAAAGACACCAAACTTGATGAAAACAAAATTTTATTGTCTAAATGTTTGTTATTATTAAGAGGAAAAGTCAAAGTATTTTTGGGGTATTTTTTTCCATTTTTAATCGTTCCTAGCACGTCCGAAATTTTCGTTAAAAATCTTTTTTTTTTTTTGAGTCAGCAAAAATTGACCTTTTTTTTCCATTTTTAAAAAAAACTGGAAATCTGACTTTGAAATTTTTTTAAATATCAATTATCATTTTTTCAAAACTTATTTTAAGAAAATCAGAAATTATAATGTTTATTTAAAATATTTTGAACCAAACTTAACTTTAGCTTTTGTGAAAAAAAGATGTAATTTGAAAATAAAACAAAGCAGGTCATAAACTTTTTCGCGTCTCTTGACATGTGATGAATGATATATTTACGAATTCCATGAGGCTAATTTGTTCTATGGAAGGAGAAAAGTGAAATAATTTACATTTACGTGAACAAATTATTTACCTCGTTATTTTTTTAACAAAAACTTTCAGCGGTCTAATTTTTTTTTTTTTTTTTTTTGTACTTAGCTTTCACCTTTACGTTTATGATGCTTTATGGGAAATATATTCTAAAGAAATTAAAATAAAACTGTTAAGAGTGACATTAAATTTCATATTTCTTAAGAAAGGTATCTAATTAATTTATAGGTACCTTTCTTATGAAATTTTATCAGAATTGTACATAAAATACTATAATTTTATGTACATTTATTATATTTTACTGTTATTTGTATTTGCATTCATTTTATTATTAATTTTGATATTTCATTTATGGAAAAATGTAGTAACTGAGATTAATATAAAAATAAGATCATATAAATTTCATAAGATGATACTGATACTTGTAGGTACCCTTCTCAGTTGAAATTGAAAATCAAATTAACTTCTCCACACGTGTTTTCAAAAAAGTAAAGGCCTTAACAGCGGAGAACAATGCTTAACTCAAATAACGCAACTTAATTATATTCTGGTTGGTCTTCCATACTTTATAATTACAGCTCGTTATAAGCACAAAATTACATTTCTTAATTACTGTGGATCTTCTGATTAGTCAAAATGATACAATTTACAACGCGCTAAAAAAAAGATCTATCTCATAAGGACACTTATGAAAGCCGATGCAGCTTTTTAACTAATTTTATAATATTTTAACAACTTAAATGTAAAATCTATTATAATTAATGAAATAACAAATAATTGTATTAAAAATTCATTTTCATCGAAAAAAATTTTTTTGCTTTCAGAAAATATTGTCCATATTCATAAAAACAACTAAAAAGCAAATAAAAGCATTTGAAATTAAATAATATCTTTGTTTTATTGAGTTTTGTATGTTACAATTCAGAGCTGATTTTCAGGTACTGCGGATCCAATTAAAAACAAAAAAAAAACATGATTTGCATTCCTCAAAGCCCTGTGCTTTTAATTATTGTAATCACTAAAACCGAAGCGATTGAATTTCTAGCGTTTTCATAAAATTAGTTATGGGGGGGTTAATAAATATTTAAAAAAAATATTTCTACCATGACTTTTAAAAAAAAAAACATATTTATAATAATTTCGATCATCTGTGAATAGTTCCTGAAAGTTTCATTAACATCCGATAATTATTTCTATTTTTTTTTTTTTTCAAATTAATGTGTGTCATACCAAAAAAAACGTGCTAAAAATTGTCTATGTTATTTACTAGTTCCGCTGATACAAATAGAAACAAGGTTTTTTTAATCAAAATTTAGAATGTTCTCAAAAGAAGGAAAATTTTTTAAAAATAATTAAAAAAAAACAAACTTTGGTCTTTCCTCTTAATAATAACATAAGCATTTAGGCAATAAAATTTTGTTTTCGGCAAGGTTGGCGTCTTTTTCATCAAGCTATGCTCTTTTTTTTAGCGATTTCGTGGAGGTACCTACTTTAATACCTTTTCTCTAGAATATCAATTTAAACACCATCCCTCCCACAAACTTTGCAATTTAACATCTTCTCCTTAAAGCAGTCTTAGAACTAGAAATGCATTATTTTTTGACAAAAGTTGAAAGATATTGTTCAATCATAGAAATGCATGAAAAATTAAATGCATTATTTCCAAACTTGTTTGGTTGACATTTCCAAGCCTATGCATCGGGACTTGTGTATTGATTATTCATGTTATGTCAATTAGCAACTAGTCTTCCAAAAGCGAAGAAAGAATGATAGTTTGGAATATGTTATTAGCCATGCTTGTTTTCGGTAATTAAACAGCCTCGTCTAGTAAATTAGTTAGGGAGAAGGATGTTAAAGTGATCCCTAATTTAATTTTTTTTAATTCCATCTTTTTAGTCTACATAACAAAAGAAAAAACAAACTCCTACTGTGTTGACTTTGGAAACTTTAATTTTGTGATATTGTAATAAAAGGGTTGACTTATATTAAAATTTAAATATTCAGAAAATAATATTTGCTTAATTTTAATGATTTGGAATAAATCATTAAAGCTTTACAATTAGTCCAGTTTTTATTATTATTTAGAAGAGAAAAAAAGAAAGAAAAGAAAACAGTAGTGATATAAAAAGTCAGAGATGAAATTGTGTTTATTCCAATACTTTCCAAAAACAGATTTTGTTTTTTGAAACTAATTGGACCTATCAGTTAGTCTGACAAAATCATTTTTATATTTTAAAAACATATCTACTTTTTATATAAATATAAAACTAGGGAAATTAATTTCATAACATTGATATTCTTTTGTAAATTTATTTAAGTCATTTTTTCCCCTCCAGTATGATCAAGGCAGTCAGCACACTGTTCATCTTGTGTGTTCCCAAATTGTAGACTGTCCAGCCAGATCTACACATCAAACAGCTGATTCAAGAAACTTTGTAAGTAATTTTTAAATTTTCTCAAGATTTGTATTGAGATTTTGTAATAAGTAGGTAGGTCCATTTTTTTTTTTTTTTTTTTTTTTTTTTTAAAGGATATTCTATTAATAGGAAAATCTTCTTTTCATGTAAGAAGCAACAAAAGAGTACTTTTCCTGTCATTATTATAAATGGAAAAGATGATTAGCTCTGCTAGACTTATTGAAGATGGCAGAAACCTATCAAAGTTCTGGTTGAAAAGTGAACATTTTCTAGTTAGTAAAAATATAAAGTTTGAATATTTCTGAAGTGTCTAGCAGATGTAAATGCATATTGAACAACATTGATCTGAAAATATTATTTTAATCTAACCCTACTTTTATTCAATCTTTTATTGTTGTCTTATAAAGTTTAATACTGTTATTGATATTTCATCTTGATCTGAAATATGAATCAAATAAAAACACTTTTTATCTGAATATTACTGTTGGACTTTGCAAACAATATTTTTGTTTTCTTAAAAAAAAAAAAAAGAACTAAATTAGATAACTTAATTCATATTTGCTAAACCTATTGTGAAATTTATTAAAAGTTTATAACTTTTGACCAATTCAATACTATCCTTATTTCTGTACTTCTGTCTGTAAGTTAAATTCTGTCCAAATATTTTTCAAAATATTTATTTTAATTTACTGAAAATGACAAATTTAAGATAAAGGGTAAATTAAACATTGTACTGAGGATTTAGTCAAATTTTTCTAGCAATATGCAGCCAAATTTGGTAAATTTTTTAAAGAATCAGTTTTTTGCTTAAATAATTTAAAATTCAGGAAAACTCTGGGAACAATTTTTTATATGATACTGTAGAGTCACTTTGTTACAAGATATGCTATGATCACTGGATTTTGGAGTTTTAAAGTACATTGGGATGCCAAAATTTTAATTACTAAAATCTCTCTCAAAAAAATATGATCTTGCAACAGACTAGATATGATTGTCACTGTTGGGTTAATTTGTGTTATTCAGTACACATTTGTGGTTGGATGAATAGTTGCCATCATTACACACACACACACACACACACACACACACACGTTTGTCAAGTATGCACATTTGCAGATATACAGACTGACTTCCATTTTAGGCCAATTGGGGTTAGGAAAGTAGTCAAAAGAAAGCAGTCTGTACCAGAGATGTTAAAAGATGCTATCTCATTTCTGGGGAAAGTTGAAACCTATCTTTGCTCTTTGATGTCATTCCAGCATCCTAACTCTCTCTTTATATTTTGTATCATGGGGCAGGGATCATTTTGTGAATAAAATTAAAGTGAGAAATATTTTACTCAACTTTCCTGTCTCACTTATAATCTGTGGGGACTTATATTTTTCTTTTTCATTTTTTTTAACAGTAGTGTGCAATTTAGTGCAATGCTATAAGTGACATTTTTGTTATTGTGTAGGGCCAAATCTTTCAATATTTTTTGTATTTTTAAAAGGAATTGCAAATTTAACGCAATTTCTGTTTGTGTCAAATGATAAAATTCTCAAAGTAAATGTATTGATGAAAGAATATAAAAATAGTCCAGGTTTTAGGATTTAGTCTTCAGCTTATTGTCTATAATATTTAGTAAATTCTCCAATTTCCGTTTGACTAAAAATGGACATAAATCTCTTGTTTGTTAGAAATAGTCTTTGATGGCAGAACAATTTTCAAATTCAGGTTATTTGATACTTAACTGTGAAGAAAGTCTGTCACTCTTTGTTTCATAAGTAAAGTTTGAAAAGAATTTGTCCAAGTGTAATAAAAGAAATGAAAGATTTGTTGCTATGACAAAATTTCAGCAATTTTACAAAATACATCTTGGCCTTCTTTAGGTGTCTGTTGATCCAGGTAACCTAACTAGATCCTTTATTTATTCTACAGGAATATCTGTGTTTTATACTGCTCAGTTATTGCTAAATTATTTTTACTTAGCCTCTACTATCTGCCCCAGGGAATAAGCATGCAATTACTACCCGATTCATGAACCAACAGTAGGTTTGGTTTTTTTTTTTTTTCATAGATATTTATAAAAATGTACCAAGATTCTGGCTAAATATACTGCTTACAAGAGATGCTTTTATTGTTTTGCTGCAGATTTAGAAAATTTAATTTCTGCTTTTAGTCATTGAATTATTTGTAAAGTTGTTTTATCTTGGAAGCAACTCTTTGATAATTTGCTGTGAGAGTCTTTGCTAAAAAGATTACCTTTGTAGGTCAACAAAATCAGTTTTTACTTCTCTCAATTTATCCAAATGCAAAGACATATGTAATACAGTGTATTTATAATTTGGAATGATTTGTTTTATTTTTAGATGAAATCTTTTTGAATTTGTTGTTTAATCAAGATTTTTAAAAATAAACTTGTCTAGCCAGTTGTGAACTGAAAATACAGCTTGTCTTTGGTGTCCTTCTTTGTATCTTTTTCATGGGTTTTTGAAAAACGATCAAATAATACTTTTATTGGACTCCTTATTCATTCAATGTAAATTGGTAGTTTTTGAAGAATACATTTTCTATTGTACCAGTTTACTTAAAAACTACTTTTTACTAGATTTTATGGCATATTTTTTGTTTTTTGGAATACATTATCTCAAATTTCAATATGCAAAATATTTCTACAAGCATTTATAATTTACCTTATAAGTAAATGTAGTTTTGCTTTAGTCTAACATTTATTTTCTTTAAATATTTTTTAACTAATCTCAGTGACTTGGAATTTGGAAATAAACTTGCAAAGTTATACATTACATTCACATGAAAACCTCTTCAAAAAGATATTTTTTTATTGAAATGCACTTGGTGACTGTTCTAATTTTCTTTTTCTTAACTGAAATGAAAGTGTTGTTCATTTTCTTTTCTTTTTGCTCTTTAAACAAATTTTATTATCCTTTTGGGCCACATATTTTTCCTCCAAGAATTTCATGAAGAAAGGAAAATTCTGACTTTTTACAATTTGCTTTCCAGCATCAGGAAACAGCTCCTCTAGACAATACACCTCCACAACCTGTTTCCAGCCCTGAAACAGAGCTACGGCATAGGAGTCATAATTTTGAAGGCTTTCACAACCAAAGGTGGGTATATTTTTTTTTTTTTTTGTTCTTTGTAGGTAACATTTTAATATCTGCATAATTGCAAACAATGTTTATAAAAACTATTTTAAAACTTTTACCTATATATTATGTTGCCCAATGATCTACTTGGGCATGAGTAGAGTAATTAGAGAGAAGATGGGTGCTGCTGTAACGTCATACTCTACACATTATTCACTGCACAACTGTGATGGCATCCAAGGTTAGTTGCATGTGTATATACACCCAGTTAGCTATGTTGACAGGTTTGTTGCTTTGGCCACAATTGAATTCAACAAAGAATAACAACAAATACTTTTCAAGACACTGGTTGAGAAATAGCAACAATATAATGTCTCATTTAACTGTGGTATTTTTCCTTCAGCTTCAAGAGAGGTGTACTGCTATCTTACTAACTTCCAGCCACTGAAAGAGGACCCTTACATTCACTGACCATCTTGGTCACTGCTGATTCCTCTCTTTGATTGCTGGTCCCTTCCTTACTGGCCACTGGTAACTTACTGCTGACTTCCTGCCTCTCTCTGCTTATGTGGATACTGGTTGGGGTTCCACCACCCCTATCTGTCCACTTGTGTTCTGGAAAAGGAGGCCACCTAAAAGCTGGATGGGTGGTCAAATTTTCAAAGGACTCTACTTTTATGATTATCTAAAATTACTAACAAAATTTTCTGCTTGCCAATTCAAAAGTGGCTGGAGGCAGGAATCCTGAAAACTCTGGTAATAAATTAACCTAAAAGATGGACAGGAGACGAGATTCCTAAGATACTCTGATAATTAAATGGACTTAGATTCCTTTTCCTTTTATCTCCTAAGGATGTGTGAAGAATTGTATTATGCTGCCAAGTAATCTTATTGAAATACCATAAAGGATTTTGTATGGTTTCACAATGAATGGTCCCAAGTTGCAAGATTTAATTTTTATATTGATTGACTAATTAAAATCTAAAAGCCCTGATGAATTATTATTTTTGTTTAATAAAAAGAAAATTTTTTTTTTTTTTTTTTTTTTTTTTCTGAAATGTGTCCTAATTTTATACTGACACTAACAGAACCCCCGCCAAATCTATGATCTTTATTTGCATCATAATACCGCTGTCCCATGCTGTTGTATTTGTATATGAAATGTCTGCATATATCACAGCTGGTTTTATTTTTAAAACGATATTAAAAATATAAAGTTTCTTGCTCAATTTCAAATTTATACTCAGCACATTCCAAGGTCACATTGTGGGTCAACCATTGTTTCCTTTGGCTGTTGGCATATTAAGTTTTTTTTTTTTTTTTTTTATTTCCAGAGAAGTAGAATTCTAACTTGTACGTGCAAGAAATTGTGCCATTTTTAGGAAGGTACTGTTGTGAATGATTGGGTGTCTCAAAATTAGGACGACAGAATTATAAAGTTGTTTGAAGGAAAGAAGAGAATGGTGGGTAGAGGCAGGCCAATATTTTATTCAATAAATTTAATGTGGCAAAATAAAAAAAAAAAAAAAAAAAAAAAAATACTTGTCTTTTATTTTTTACTTAATAAAGCAAAATTACTTTTTTGGTGTGGGGATGGGGTCACTAGTATTATTGATTTCAGTTTCAAAGGACCTGAAACCAGAGAATAGTGATTGAAGTTCGTTTGCAATCAACTTTGTAACTTTTATGTCTGCTAGTTTTCTGGAGATTATTCTTTATGCTCATCTTGTGGTGAGATGCCATTTATGTTTTGCATAATGTTAGACAATAATTTCTTGTAACTTTGTTTCTTTTTTATTGTTCTTTGGTAAAAAAAAAAAAATTTGAAGATTAAACCTAAAATGTATTTTGTAATTGTCATTTGGCTACAGCAATTACAAAAAAAAAAATTATTTTTCATACTTTCTCTTAGTTTTTTTTTTTTTTTTTTGTTAAAAACTGAACATGTAGCAGTTTAAGCCACTTTTAGATGACTTTCTCACAAAATTTTGGATGACGTTGGGCAACAATTTCAGACTCATAATCTGTGGAGGAAGTGAAAAATCTCTTTTCTTTCCTTTATTTTATATTCTCTAAATAATCATTTTTCTTTTCTTATTTGGCAGTTTTTACCAACTTCACGTTTTGGTTCTATTACAAAGAAAAACTTCTTTATGCTCAAACTGTGTGAATATACAATGCTTATTGGTCATAATTTATGTTGTTGAATCTTACATATCTAGGTAGCAAAATAAATTCTACTGGAAAGGATGGGAAAATTCGCATAGCAAAAGCCTAGACCGCCATGAATAAAATGAATGTAATCTGGAAATCTGATCTACCAGACAACCTCAAATGGAACTACTTTTGTGCCACTGTAGAGTCGGTTTTTAACGTGTGGTGCCACTGCTTGGATATTAACTAAAACCCTTGAGTCTAAACTTGATGGAATCTACACTAGGATGATGAGCAGTATTCTTAACATGTCTTGAAGACAACATCAAACTAAATCCTAAGCTCTATTGACCCACATCTCTGATATTTCTACAATCTTATACACATACAGAATGCACTTTGCAGAACATTACTGGCGAGCAAAACAAGAACTTGTGATTGATCTCCTGCTCTGGACATCTAGTCATGGTGCAAGACTGGTTGGTCACCCAGCAACCACCTACATTGACCAACTATGTAATGACACAAAATGCCACCCTAATGACTACCCAGCCTTGATACGGTACCATCATCGATAGCGTGGTAGGCACGTGAATGTCCGAGCTGGCTTGATTGAATAAATGAATTGATCATAATGTGTTTATTCTAAACTAAAAATCCTTAGTGATAGTTTGGTAACTGCAGGAATGAAGCTCTTTTCCATTGAAGGAACTGTTGAGAAATTCTCAGCCTCTCCTACTTTCAGAAAATCAAATATTTCTCACTTTGCTCAAATATCACAGAATACAGATTTGGAGAAGTGGGTCAGGCCAAGAACTTTTACTCTACCATCTCAGACATGACCAATTTGTAACTTTTTCCTTTTCTTCTTTTTGTCTTTACAGCATGAATCCAATGTTTCACCAACAAATGCCATACATGATGTCACCAATGGGTGCCATGACAATGCCTCAGGCAGGTTTTCTCTACAGTCCTGAACAGTATGCATGGATGCAACAGATGTATTCCCAATACATGGCTCAATATATGCAATAGTAAGTAAACACAAAGTTCTTCACATAATTGTTATTCTTTCAGGATTGTGAGTAGAAGTGATCATATTTGAGATCACGTCTTGTAGTTAGAATCTTTTTTTCTAATTTGTCCATCTCTATTTTTGAATATATTCTTTTCAATAGAGGAATATTTTTTTTATGAACTTTATACTATAAATACATTCTGTTGTTCTTTTACTGTAATCTCAAATAATAAAGAAAAAAATGATTTTAAAAATATTTTAACATTTTTAGGTAATTTTATTTTCCACACATGGTCTTTTACCAAAATAATCCTATAAACCAAAAGTGTTGAAATATCTGATGTTAATCACCTGATTGTAATGTGTAGGAATTCTTCTACTTGGGTTTTTGTTAAATGTCAAAATTCGGAGTGTCAGGATTTGATACAATAACATAAAATAATGTGGGACTGCTCGAAATTTGTCCGTTTAGAATAATCCCACCATTTTCATTGAAAGAATAAAATCCAGTAGAAAAAGACAATGTCGTATCAACAAATAAACATCAATTTAATATAATGACAAGAATACAAGAAGTTGGTTATAAATTTAAATGTCTTTTTGTTTTGGTTAATAAAATTCTGGAATAAAATAGAAATTATATTTGTGTACGTATATGAGAAACAGTGAAATGTTATGTGTGTGTTTGTGTAAAAGAGTAAGTGTGTGGGGTGCTTAGTAGTAACAGTGGGGGATACAAGTGATACTTAAAATTTAGTTCTTACTGAGAATGGTGTTGCTGTACTTCGGAGCAGTCTTTTTGTAGTTTGTCAGCATGGTAGCTTTTTGTGTGGACTTGAATGGATCTTGTTGACATCTGTGCGTCTCATATTTGGGGCCAGAATTTGTGAGTTTTATACACTTTTTTTTGTAAGAACACTGGCTCCAGAATTATATTTATTTATTTTATTCTTAATTGGCCCTAAAAAGCCACGTGGTATATCTTCTACTTCTGCACAATATTTTGGCAGTATCTACCTAAATCATGACAAAATATTTTATTAAATACTTTAGTGGACATAACAAATGCATTGATCGATTTGCTGAATTAGAAAATTCATTCAGTCTGCCCCTTCGTTCCTTGGCCATTTTTCTAAGATTCTACAGATATAACTGAACAATCCAGACATTTAAAAAAAAAAAGAAAAGTTTTTAGTTAACTTCTGAACCCATTTCAACAGTAAGTGAAAACTTTAAAAAATTCTAATGTTTGCTCAATTTATCCAATTTTGGGAAGTGGGTTGGGTTAGGAATTTTTCTGGCAGGTCCTTGTATAAATAAACAATTTATGTTTCTAATTAAAAAGAAATATGAAGTTAAACGTTGATATTTAATACTTCCACTGCCATGGACATACATACTTATGTCTTTATGAAGCTTACATTGCCTGCTGTTGACACACACACACACACATTCAAGATACTGTGAAATGCCAGATCATAGCATTTGTATTATAAACTAACTAGCACTTATTATTATTATTATTATTATTTCTAAACTGTCATAAACATAGAATTAGTGTGCAATATAAGCTGTTTTGTGACATTTTTATCATATGTGTTGGGAGTGTCGTTTAGCTTCATATGTACTTTAGAGTGTATGATGAAAGCCAAAATGGTGGCATCCATTGGGAAATCACTGTCAGTGTCTTTATAGTCATTTATTTCCAGTAAAGCTAACCAGCACAGCCAGGCAACAAGGCTATAACAATGCAGTAGTGAAAGTGTTAATAACTAAAGTAAATTCATTAAACTCTACTAACTCTTTAAATTATTAAAACTTGTTTCTATAAAAATTCTTCATTTATGAAACCTCAAAAATTTACCTAAGATCAGTTGCAAATGATTTTCCATTTATAGGGTTGGATTCATGCCTGCCGATGTCACCAAGAAGATTCCATCAATTAATATTATTCTTTGTTTTTAAAACTAATGTTTACTATACAAGAGGCTTACTCAAAGTGGTTGTTGTGTGAGCAGTAAGAATAAGGGATGCTGTCTATGTCGGGGAAAAATAACAGTTAATCTGAGACTTGAAGAGGTTAAGATTGTAGAGCACTCAATAAAGCATATATGTTGTGAATAAATTGATCATAGTTAGGTAGACAACAAAATTGGGGAGGGTTAAACTGATAACTGTAGTAATAAAAAATTTAAAAAAAACTGCTATTGTTTTTGCAAGTTTTCTTCTGAACTTTTTTTTTTTACTTTTGTTATAACTCACACCTTTTGCTCCTGGAGGTATTTCAACCAGCTTCACTTAAGACTTCCTCAGATCAAAAACTTAACAATGTCGGTAGAGAAGATAGACTGTCAAAGTGAGACACCAAGGCAGTAGTTCCAGGGTAGGAAGTTAAGTCGGAGGTTGTGTTATACTTTGGGAAATTTAAAAAAAAAAAAAAAAAGGTCTTGATCCTGTCATTTCTTCTGTTTACATTTGTATTCTTGATAATTGTTGTAACTTGTACCTTTTCATACTGACAAATACAGTCTGTTAACAGCTTTAGCATTAGAAACAGTTTTCAAGTATAAAACCTCACTAAAAGGATACACTTCTTTCTATTTTCCTTAGGAGTCATTGGGACAAGTGTTGCCAGAATCACATTAAGATCAGTGTTAAAATATCTGGGAATCACTTGGTTTATCATTTCTATAAATTTAATTTGTTCAACTGATTTAAATGCTTAGCAAAGAAATTCAGTGAAAATTGAAATCCTACCTGTTGATAAGCTTTGAGTAATTGAGAATTGTTTTCTGTTTCAGTGAATTTTGAACTTCTGTTGAAAACATTTTTTTCTCTGATCCATTAACCTTCAAATATCTCATCTCTCTCTCTCTTTTTTTTTTCCCCCCCTCTCTTCTCCGCAGTTACCAGTCTGGAACTTATCCGTTGTCAGTGCCAGCTAATGTGCCTGGCAATGTCCTTGACAATCAAGTTGAAGCAAACAATGCAGAAATTCGGCCAATCAATGAAAACCTTCGAATGAATGCTCAAGGAGTGATGGATGATGAAGATGATGAATTTGAGCAACGTGATTGGCTGGACTGGCTCTATGCTGCCTGCCGTTTCGTGATCTTGTTGAGTATTGTTTATTTCTACTCAACTATTAGCCGTTTTGTGGTGGTCTTCTTAACTTTCTTCCTCCTCTATGTGTAAGTTTTCTGGCCATTTTCCCAGTTTGATTTTTGTATAAATCAGAAAAGTTTGATATGAAAGTTGGCATACTTTGAGAGAGACAAGGAAATTTAAATTGAATCAAATAAAAGAATAAAAAGTTTTTTTTTTTTTTTTTTTTAAGCAGTTTTTGTAGTTGATACTAATTTATAATTCTCTGTTTTGATTATAATCAACTTTTTAAGCTAAGTATGACATGTCAGACTTATTTTGTTGGGTCTATGTGTTAAGTCCCAAAATCTGTGATGACTGGATGTCAATTTCTTTTGCACATGAATGAATCCTACTAAAAGCATTATCAGTTGCTCTAAAAATGTTATTTTTCTGCTGTATATTTCATATGCATAGTGATTGCATTAAGTTTAATCTTTTTTCATAGCATGTATTTAATTTGTAGCACAAATTGTTTAGGTGATGCCAGAATCTAGTCTAAAAAGAAAATTATCAGATGTTCTTTTCTAACAGTAAATATTTTTATAGGTGAAAAATAAACAATTTTCATGAATTACTAGTAACTTTTTGATTGAATGCAAACTATATACTTTCTTTTTTACATTACCTTTTTAATATTTCATTTTGGAAAAATATTTACTTCTATTTGAATATATTAAACAAATCAACAGCATTCTAAAAAAAAAAACAAAAAAAAATGGTAACAACAATGAAAATTTTCACTTTTCTAGAAATTTTCTAGTCATTTTGAAAGTGGCAAATTGTAATATAGAATCTTTATCTTTTTATTAAAAACTAAAAAAATTAGCTAAATGAAAACTAAAAAAAACTGAGAATTAAAATTTTTAAAAGTTTTTTGTTAGTATTATGATGGTATCATTAGGATACATTATATATAGATTATCATGGTATGATTTTTTTTTTTATATATTCATGTTGTTTAGAGTTTTTTTTAACTTTTCAAATTCTTTTCATGTGATGTTAGTTGTAAATCTTACAGAATTACTTTTATCATCAAACTTCAAGAAGCTCATTTACGTTTATTGCTGACCTCCATCAAAAAAAAAAAAAAAACTGATAAGATTGGCATCTGTTAACCTTAATTTGTTTTTTAGTTATTTATGCTGAAAGAAAATCCCTTATGAAATTGTCATTTGAAATATCAAATATATAAAGGCTTATTAATTTGTGCTTGTTAATCACCGATTTGTTTTCTATGGAATGTTTATTCATTGATAAATTTCTAAATTGTATTGTAATTGAAAGCTAGAATAGCAAATGTTTTATCAAAAAAAATATATAAAACCATATTTATTTATTTTTCCTTCTACCAGCCACCAAGCTGGATGGTTCCAAGTCAGAAGACAAGCAGCTGGTGCTGAGCAAAATAACAGAGAAGCTCAACAAGCAGCTCAAGCTGCAAATGATGTCCACCAAAATGAAAACAGAGAGGCGCAGGTAAATGCAGTTTTCATCTTTCAATCTGACTTTCCATAAAAGCAAAACGTTTTTGTCAGCAAATATTGGACTCACTTTAGAAATAACACATTTTTCTTTATTTTTCATTGTACATTTGAGTTTTTTTTTTGTTTTTTTTTAATCTGAGATTTGAATTTTGTTGAGAATTGCTTACATTATCTGAATTATCACGGGTTATTTCTATACAAATCTCTTCCCATTTTGTTGGTTTATTGAAGCTACAAAAGGGATGGCTATATCTATTGTGAATATGAAACTGCTTGCTATCCTAGAAAGTTTTGTTGTTATTACAATCAATTGTCTATTTTTATTCATCTATTTTTACAAATCAAACTTCCAACCTACATATGGTTGGACGAATCAGTTTTTCATGTCTTTCCCTTCCAAATGAACTGCTGAGTGCTTTTCAGTTTGGCTTCTTTTGAGCTACTCATTGTTATTATCCAACCAATTATGCCAGAATTTTCCCAATTTCAGTGGAATTTTCCCAGATTTTTGGATCATATCTTTTAATGTTAAATAATTGAACTCTTAGAATTATGGATTTGCTTTGCCATGAGATTTTCATTAGATTTGTCAAACTGTTTGCTTTTCCTCTTTTTTTGTTTCAGAATGTTGGAACTTCTGATGACAGTGGAACTGATCATATACAACCACAAGAACCGCCTCATCCTCGAGGATTGGCTCTTGTTTGGCTGCTTGTTCGGACGTTTTTTACTTCGCTTTTCCCACAACAGCCCCCTGCTGTCAATGCCAACTGAGAAAAACAACCCAGAGAATTGACACTTTTCACTAAGTTATCTTTTTTTTTCATTATTATCTGGGTTAAAAAGAAAACTTCATAAAATTTTGGCAAGATCTTTTTTGGTATTTAACCGAGAGAATCTGACTTTAATCAAATATGAAACTGGAAAGAGACAATTAGGGTTTTGGCCTTCATAAGGCCTTTCTGGGGTTTTTGTCTTTTTATAATCACTTGTCTTGCGGAGATTTTGTTTACTCTCATTAGCGGGGTCAGTTGGTAAAAAAGAAAAAAAAATCCATGATACCCTGACTATAAGTAAAAAGTGTATGATGTGAATGACTTGCAAATTTTCACTAAGTTGTGTAATTGTGATATTGATTGGAGGTGGTACATATAAGTGAACTTGGTGTTAGTCGTAGCAAACACTTCTGCTATGTCTGCCATACACAGCACAACTACAAGGGGTAAAAGAGAATGACAGAATGTACTTGATTGAATCTAGTGTATGTATGTGTGTGTATATATATATATATATATATATATATATATATATATATATATATATATATATATAATGTGTGTCCAGCATCTTAAATTCATTAATGAATTAATTCAGCCTCTTCAGTTTTGATCCCTATTTTCTTGTTTGATTTCTCTTATTTTTGTTTAATTTCCTGTTTACAAAGGGAGTTTGTTGTTAAAGTTCTGTTGATAAATCCGCAAACCAACTTTTTTAAAAAGGAAAAACATTTCCAAAAGGAAGGCCTGAGTGTTTTCATGTTTTCTATCATCCCATCAGGTTGCAGTCAAATGAGAAAAAAAAAGAAAACACGTGCAGTCAAGCTTTAATCAATCTGACTGATATTTCATGTAATATAAAGCTTGTATGTGTGTGTGTATATATATATATATATATATATACATATACATAAAACTAAAAGAAAAAAAAAATCTATTTAGAAATTGGTGAACTTTTGGTCCGTTAATCTTGTGTCAAAATCTTTCTTTTGTTAAAAAGGCACTCTTCATTCTCTGCCTTTGTTAATCACTTGGGTTTCTCTTTGGAATTTTCATTTGGCTGGAGTATCCTTTCTTAAAGAGCTGAACATTTTACAACAAAATCAGTCTTTTCAACTTTACTCAAGTCAAAAGCCGACGAATTTTCTTAGCCGTTCATTTTCCTCTGATTTAAAATATTTTCTTTTTACTTGTACTGTTTAGATTTTTAATCTTTTTATTTACTACTTTTTAAACACAAAAACAATTCTTTTCGCTTTATTCTAAATGTTTGCATAATTTCTAATAAAATTGTTGTTTTAAAAGATTAAATGAATCTATTGATATGACAATGTTATTAAGCTTTGTGACATTAATGTTGGCTCAAAAGATTTGTAGAAATAGATGAGCTAAATTGAAATGGATATTTTTGCTGTTAATGTTCCAATCAAATTAAGGCTCTAAATCTATTTTTTTTTTTCTTTTTACATTTAGAAAAGAAATCAATATTTCAAAACTGAGGAAAATATTCATCTTTTTAATATTCCTCCTTGCCATTCGTTGACTATTCGAATAGCATCCATGTCCTTAAATTCATAATAACTGGGTTTTGTATATGCTTGACAGAAGATATTTTTCATAACACAATTAATCAGAGGGTTTTTATTTGGGGAGGGTGGGGGGGGGAACTTAGATTCATTTTTTGTTTTTCTCCTTTTGGTATAAAACCTCTTTGATTCTTTGTTTTTTCTTGTCAGTGCATCTACAAGGAAGGATAAAGTGAAGTTGGGAAATTTATCAATTCCATAAAATCTCCATTTAGTATCAAACCAGAAGTGAATTCCAATCTTTGACAGTTAATTTCTAGCCTTCAATTTCCATTTTGTAACAGAAATGGCATTTGACTGTCAAAAATATTCTTTATGGATACTCATGAGATTTATATATTTATTTATTTAGACACACACACTCACAACCTATACATGTAAATAAATAAAAGCATAATATTATATTTGGTATTTTTTGTATTTAAGATTGAGGAAATTCTTCCATTGGCTAAAAATATCTTGGGGAGACATTAATTTTATCTGGTTTTTCATTTCTTTGTGCAAAATGTTTATTCTTTCTGGCAATTTTTGGGATTTATTTTCATAACATCAGTGAAAATTTCAAGTTTTTGTTTTAAACAAAATTGGCCTTTTTCTTAAACCATTTAGATTTTGGGTTGTATAATTTTTTTTTTCTTTCCTGTTATTCCCAGGATAAATCAAGTAGATTTCCATAAGCATTTCATTTTTTTTTTATCTAAATATTAAAAAAAAAGTTTTTACTTGCCTTGTCATATTTAGGGGCAATATTTAAGAATTTTATTTTCCATTTATAATCTTTCCAATCTACAAAAGGAATGTTTATTATCCCGTGAATGTCTGATGTATACATCATTTCAGCTGTTTGTTGAAATTCTACTCTATCAGCATTTAAGGCTGATAGCATTGGTCTTTATTGTGGCCATTTCAAGTTTAGTTGAAGACTTTGAGAGCCTTGGAAGGTGTTCTTTCTCTTTACTTAGGCCATCATATATACCTCTTAATATTTCGTAAAAAAATTGTTTCTAAATTAGATACTGTGATTAATTTTTAAGTTTGTTTTAGTGCAAGTTTTGAAAAAAGCAAATGTATGACTTTGTTTTGCTGAAACTGATATCTCTAACTTTCCATATTCTTTGGTTAGATCTTTTTACATAGAAGACATACTAATTTAAAGGAACTAAATCTTCAGTTTTAAGAGAACAACATCTTGGTATGTAGACTTGCTTTTTATCAAGCATTTGTCTCCAAGACTATTAGTCTCTATTTCCAGTTATTTTTCAGTCGATGCTGTAATTAGATTCACCATCAGAACCAAATAAGAAATCAGTATTTTTTTGTTTTGAAAAGAAAACCGGATTATGAAGCAGCAGAAAGTAATAAAATGAAGTCAATCAGTTCAGTTTGTAATTAAAAAGCAAGGAGTGAATGGGGACAAAATCAGAAAGAAAAAAAAAAAATTCTTTTATAGAATGTTTTTAATCTATAATCATGATAGTTATGCTTAAAAAAAAAAAAAAAAATGAATGAATTTCCTCTTTGCCTGATATAAGATTTTTTTTTAATTATTGTCTTAATGACTCATTTGATTTAAATAATTTTACTAAGAATCTTTTTTTATTTATCAATGTCTTATCTCACTACTTTTAGCTGTGAAAGAAATTAGGAAATCTACAATTATAAAAGCTTTTATTTGGTCATGTAACTGAATTTCCTTGGAATATTTGAATTTAACAAAAGCTATTTCTTATCTATGCAATCGTGTGGCAAATTATAGAAAATTATTTGAGGTTTTTTTTTTTTCATTGGTGGAGGGAAACCCTTAAAAAATGAATTTTGGGCTTTTTAGTTATTTTCAATTCTATCAAATAGTATAAAATTTATAGAATTCATTTTAATCTGGCATTTTCATTAAATTTCTCTTACAATTTAATAAGTCAACAAAAATTAACTTGAAATTTTCTGACTTTTCACTCCATTCCGTCCTTCATCAGTTTTGAGTCTTTCCTAGAAAAAACAACACAAATCTGAAAATAATTTGACACATACAAGATACGATGGTGTAGCACATCAAATAACTGTTCACATCAGCAATGTCAGTAGAAAGACAATTCAAGTCAGAAACATAACCTATAAATTGACTATTGGGGGGGGTATTTAATGCAAAGGATGGTTGGAAGAAACAATATCAACAGAAAATTTCCTAATTTTTCTTTTTAACTAAATTCATTTGTAATTTTCTATATTGTTGCAGCCACTACTATATCTTAGCTCTTATCTAGGGACCTTGAAATGTGCTGAATCTGGACAATTCTGTGATTTGTAGCAGCAAAAGTTTGACTGTGATATTTTGGCATTGGAGAATTGGTTGTCAAGATGATGTGGTTCATAATTTCGAAGCTTTATTATTTTGAAAGGCTTTCCCATCAATTTGCATTAGAAAAATCAGATTCTGTTACAACCTTTTGATTGTGGTAGAGAGGCAGCTACAAAATCAGGACTCCTGTTAAGAATTATCATAATAAAGTTCAATGAATGTGGCATTTTGTCTAACTGACCCTCAAGTATAGTTTGGGATTCTTTGGATTTGCAAAAAAGGTGGAATTGGTGCAACTTGATGACCAAGAAAGTTCATTCTTATTACTCAAAATAATTTAAAAGAAAAAAAAACAAAAAACAATGCCTTTTTCATTTAATAAAAGCATTTTGAGTTGAAGTAGGGAACTGATTTCAAAAGGAGACTCTGCTTCCTTAGGCAGTCAGTCTCAACAGTAACCAAGTTGTAGGAATAACTCCCACCCACACCAAAGATTATCAGAATTTTATATTTTGATTTAAATTGTGTTTAATATTTCTCTCTTGTTGAATAATGACATCTTCCTTTATGGTAAGAAAGAAATAAGTAAATATCAGCAAAATATGAGAACGGGCAGGTTTTTTTTTTGGAAAAAAAAAAAAAAAATAAATGTAAATAAATATCTAAATATGTCTATTGAAAGTACCTGTATTGTATTGATATTTACTAAGTATAACCGTTTTATCACTAGACTAAAACTGATGAATGGGTTATTGCCCCTTTATTTACCCAGGGAAAAACTTTGAAATCTTAAGAGTCCTTTTTTTATTTGGCTTAGGGCAAAAGTGTTAAGTTTTTGCAATGCTAGTAAATTTTTCAAATACTGAATTGGGAAGGGTAGTAGATATAGATATATTTTTTTTGTAGTTGAATCTTTTCAGTGTTGGCATTCTTTCATTGAGTATGATTGTGCTCTCTGTGTCTGGTTGTCCTGTTTCTCCCTTTTTGTTAATGTACCTTTTCTTTGCTTTCTCTTTCCTTATTTGAGGTGAGGGGGGTGCATGATAAAGAACAGGTCTTGTTTTCTAAAAAGGTTAAAAAAAAAAAAAAATAAACAAAACAAGATCAGTTATTACATCTACATATACATTTCTGCCTTTGTCAGGGGGGGAAAATTCTTTGTTACAAGGAAAATCTCCACTATTGGGATAGAAAGAAGTGAATACCCAAATTTGCTTTTAGGGGGTCTTGGAATGTTCCTTTATCTCCCCCTCCACTCATATCTGGCCAGGGTAGTCTCATATTTAGAATAGGGAACAGCTCTATGGAAGATGTTCCCATTAAGAAAACCTCTTTGACCAACTTTGTATTAAAAGAAAAAAAAATCTGTCTATATGCCTCTTTAGCAATCATCTTGCAATTATATTGGGAAAGAAAACATATTTTGTCATTTTTCAATAAATCCATTTGCAAATTATTCTACTTTTTGAATTTTTATTTGAATACGAAAAAAATGGGGGAGTGTACATTGATCAAATTCTTCCAATTGTATCTAGGGCACCTCTAACTTTAGTATATTTAGCAAATATGTTTTACCTAAAAATAACATTCTCCATAGATTTGATTTCCAAAAGAAATGTTTTTCTTAATAATTCTAAGAGATTGTAGCTTAATCAATTTAAACATTGAAATCTAGGGGCAGATTCCTGTTTATCCAACATGAATTGTGAAGTGTTCATTTTTAAGAAAACACACATACACAAAATATTAATAAGATGAAGTTTTTTTTTTGTTTTTCTCTCCAACTTTGGGTGGGGTGGGGGAGCTATTATTTACAGAATATACAATAGAGTGACTGTCATCTGACAAGTGTTGTAAGCTAAGCATGCAAAAGAAATCTGTGGCTATTTGAAATTTATTCTACAAAAGGAACAAGCGGATTAAAAGATCTTATCACTAAATCTGCCCTGCTTATTTACAGAATTCTTTGAGTTCATTTCAAGCAGATACAGGATTTCTTTTTTTTTTGTCCGATGTTATTTGCAGTTTAGTTCAGTTGACAGATTGAATTCACTAGGTCAGCAAATTGGTAAACGAGATGAGTTTGTTATTGTGGGTACACAATTTGAGATTGAAAAGGTGTGGGGGGGAGTAATGATTTGTATTTACCAAAACACTTCACATATATATATATGTTAAAAAAAAACTTCATCTTGGGTTACATGGCTGCAGTACAGAATTTTTTGTTTTATATTATCTTATATAAAGAGAAAAAAAGGCATACTGAATATCAACAAATAATTTACACAATAAGTTGGATTATGGAATCTTATGTTGGGCTTATGGTCAAGTAAAAAATGAAGTCATTGCTAACATGAAATTGAGATTAAGCTTGCTTCAATATGAAATGAGTGTATATGCACATTTAAAAAAAAAAAAAAATGGATGTGTATGACATTGAAAAAAAAAACTTTATTTGGGAAAATATAAAGAAACATACAAAAGTGATGAAAAGAATTTGGTGCAAAAAAAAAAAAAAATATTCAGCAATTCCTCATAGAAATGGACAACATGAGGTGGTTAGATCTTAGGTTATATTGCTTACTTTATATTCATTTAATTTGCAATTTTGAAATTGGTAAAGTTTCTTTGTGTATGTGTGACAAGAATAATTATTTTGCATTTAGTAATTGAAAATTAAATTAATAATTAGAAAAAAGAAGTCAAAATATTTTTAAAATGTTTTCAAAGCTGGCATATCTGATTTTCTTTTGAATTACAAATAATTCAATTTAAAATGCTACATTTCAATAAAATTCTAACTTCATAATAACCTGCCTTAGTCTTCTGCCACTGAATATAAAATCTAGATACAAAGGAATGTTAAATTATAAATAAAATGGACAGTTGTTTTAACCAGTTGTATCTTAATGAATTTAAATGATCAATTTCCAAATTCTACAAGAATTTTTCATAGCTGTAAAGATTTCTTTCTTTCCAACAAATTTGAGATGCAAAAAGCTCATTACAAATGCACATGAAATGAAAATTTATTTGTTAAAACCTTTTATTCTAAGCACTTTGTTGAATTCACATTGCTGTAAAGATTATTGATTCAACTTTTGGCTAAAAAAAAAAAAATACTTTTAAAAATGTTGCTATTACAGTAGTCATAGCATTTAAACATTCAAGAAACAGGAGATACACACTAAAGATATTTCTTTTATCACACTGAAATATTAACTTTAGATATAAAGTTGTTTGCTGAGAGAATGGGTGTGGAGTGGAATCAAACTTTAATCCTACCTCACCTAGAAAGATAATTTTTACACTGAAATTTACTTTGAAAAACTATATAATAAATTATACTAAATGATAAAACAAATTATCTTTAAATTTAAATTCCTTAAAAAAAACAAAAAAACACTCCACTGGATCTGTAATGAAGAGTTCAATAAAAGACCTTATTCAATCATAACAAATTGTATCCAATATCATCTCAGTGTTGTAGCTCCCTAAAAAAAAATCGTTTTAAACGAGGACCCCCCCCAAAAAAAAATGTTACTTATGATTAATTCTGATAAGTGCTTTGAAGAAGTTTAGCAACTCTTCTGGTGTGGACGGTTGTAAGTCAAGCCAGTGATTGCATCTTGAGAGAGGGGCACAATGATCTGTTATGATGTAATGATAAGTCAGATGAGAGAGCAGCATTTCTAATACTTGAGTTATCAGCCTATCCGGTAAAGGCAGTAGACATCCAATGACTTTGCTGAAATAGTTCAGAATTGCATAGGGACTCTACAATAAAGAAAAAGATAAGAAATAATTAATGAGTACGCAAAAGTAATTCAAAGATTTAACTTTCTTGAGAGCAAAGTGTATCCACTTGTAATTTAAAAAAATACTTTTATAAATGGAATTGTAACTATTTTTTCTTTAAATTACTTCCCTGCTAGTCTCAAGGAGACATTTAGAATATTAATCTAAGAAATTAAAATGTGATTAGGAAAACGAAATGAAAATTACATGTAAAAAAAAAAAAAGGCTTGGAACTACTTAAAAAAAAAAAAACCAAAACAAAAAAAACAGCTTTTTAATTATTTTTTTTTTCTGTGTGTGTGTGTATATAAGAAATGTTTTTACAATTTCTTGTTAAAAAAGAAAGCATACCCTCTCCCTATTTCATGTCAAATGCAAGACCATCAGAATTTAAAAAAAAAAAAAAAAAAAATCTGCATCACTGAAATAGTATCACCAATAGAAAATTGAGAAGAAAAAAAGATTTATTGGCTTTTGCCATTTTTAATTTATGCACAAAAAGAGGAAAAAAACCAAAAAAAAACCTTACTTTTTTTTTTTTTTTTTTTTTTTTAAATTATCTCCCTCCACCTACCAGAAATTTGATACAAAATTAATAAGTGAAAAATATGAAAACACTTACTTTTTCCAGTGTCTGGAGACCTGAAAGCGGGTCATTCACATACGAAAGCAATCCTTTCATATCTGTATATCTCAATACCGGTTCCTTTTAAAGACAAACAGAAGCAAAATATATGAATAGCTGAAATGTTTGCTGTCTTGATAGACATGAACAAGCATTAATATACATTTGATATATGTCATGGTTGATTTGCAGTAAATATGTTTTGAACTTTGAAACACATTTTGTTTAGTGTAGTTTTATATTTGTAAAATCTGAGACAACCAATTTCAATAATATAATCACATTTTTAATTCATTTTCTGGAAGAGAAAACGCAAAAAGGTGAAAATATTTAAATTTGTATGATTTTGAAAAATGATAAATAGATTGTTAAATTTAACAAAATTGATTATTACAGAAAGCCATGGAAAGAAATATGTATTTGTACCATTTTAAGGTTAAATGATTTCAAAGTCACAAGAAAATTTTTCATATTTTCAGTTGATGTAAAGCTTTTCCACATCCTCATTGTTCTTTGGAATTGTTAACTAAATATTTGCATAATTTCAATCAAATGGAAATCAGTCTTAGTTGGCATATTTCAAACTTCATTGAAAAATCAGTTAGGTGGGGTGAGTAAACTCTTAAAAATAATACTGGTGATTATTAATCAGTGATGGAAATTTAAAAGAAAAACGTTTTTTGTAACAAATAAACATTTGAAGAAATTGAAAACACTTTATTTTTATTGGTTAAAAAAAAAAAAAAAACTTCCCCAGAGAATTAATACAAACATACAGGATGTGATGGATAAATTGTCGTCTAAATTATACAAAAATGAAAATAACGCTGACATCTCACCTCATTTTAACAGATATATTTACCAAAATAGTTTTGAAATACTAGATTAAATTTATTCAATAAAATTGTCATTGGCTTCAATCCCAGCCTCCAGGAATCTCCTGCAAAAATTCTGGACCGTCTCCTTGCTTATGTTGGCGAATGCTGCCATAATCTATGCCTTCAGTTCATCTTTGGTGTTACAAGGAGTTTTGTTGGTCTCTTTCTCAAATGTGCCCCACACAAAATAATCAAAGGGGTTTCAGTCTGGGGAGTTAGGTGGCCAGATGTAAGGGGTGATATGATTGCAGAAATTGTCTGACAGCCACAACTGGCATCTCTTGCTTGTGTGGCATGGTAGAGAGTCCTTTTGCCAGACATAAGGTTTTCCAGCAGCCACCCTCTTGACCCAGGTTAGCAGTACCTCCTCAAGTCACTTGGTGTAGGCCTCAGTGTTAAGACCTTCACCAACAAATTCAGAAGTTCTTTTCTTACCAGAATGATCAGAGTGAGTTTTGAGGTGCTGTACCTTCGTAATCACCATTAGACTCATCCAACTCTTTCTGAATCCTCTACACTGTCCTCAGATTGACACCCAAACACTCTGAAATGTTTGTATTGAAGCTTACAGTACAGCATACATTTCCAAATTTCTGGTGGACTGAATTGTGTCATGGTGCTCTCTTTCTCACAGACAGTGCCCAACTGACCTTACTATGCTGTGCAGTTGACAAAATCAAAAACAAACAACGTGTATGCGTGAAATAAAAAAAATATAAAATGATGACAATTTACCCATCATAACCTGTACATAGCTGTGTTTTTGTTTTTATTTGTTGAGGCAGGAGCAGGATTAATCTCACACAAAGCAAGCTGGATCCGGCTTAACAAAGGATTTTTCACAATGATTTGAAGTAAAATGTTCTTCTCGACATCTCTTTGACTCCCACAGTAGTCCAAGTACACAGAGTACTTTTGAGACATCATCTCTAGGAAGGTTGCCATTCAAGGCTTGAGACTTCATTCTAGCCTTTATATATGTTGAATGTTGGCCCCTATATGAAGCATATCCGCACTTTGGTCTTTTTTTTTTTTTTTTTTTTTATCATCCTGTCGGGGGTTGACATGCTATCCTTTTCACCAGCAGAAAGGTTATTTGGGGAGCTGGTTTAGATGTGGCAGGTTGAACTGAGTTATGTTATCAGTAGCAGGCCTAAGCCTGACCTGATGTAATTAATACAAAACCCTTGACAATATATATAGTCTAAATCGAAAATAATGAAAGCGATAAGCCTCAAGCGGTTATAAAACAAACACGAGCAGTCAGTTTTTTTTTCTCAAAATAGGGGGGAAAAAAAAAATGATGACAAGATTGTAATTAAACCCCTAAAAGCATAGGACAACAATATTTTAATCTTTCTGAAGGATATACAGGTGGCCTAACAGGCATAAGAAATGAATTTCTGTAAAGAATTCAGTGTTCACACACACAGTGTGACCCAGATATAAGAGAGATTTTCTCTGGTCCCAAATTAGAGCCTGTGTTAATGTATATAAAATAGACCAAACCCGGATATAAGAGACTTCTTCTCCGGTCCTGACAACTCTCTTATATATGGTTATACTATATATATATATATATATATATATATATAAATAAATATACATTTTTAAGGTATGCTATATTTATAGTATAAAGTGCTCAATATTAAGAGATAGAGTGTATGTAAATATAAAAGTGAACATTGAAATCAACACTCAGAAGCAATAGACTTTCATATTAAACAATCATCAAGCCACATGTGTTGTCTTTTTCCTCGACTATATTTATGGGTCAGTGGTGCATTGTGGGTAGTCTATTCTAACAGTTATTTTGGCTGTAGTGGAACTCATTTCAAAAAATTTTGCTGCTTTACTTAAATATTGAAAATTGAAAAGAATAAAAATAAATAAAAAAAATCAAGTAAAATATATTAATCCAAATAAAACAAATTAACAAGCCACTCCAGCCAAAATAATCGTTAGAATAGATTCCCCACAATGCACCACTGACCCGTAAATATAGTTGAGGAAAAAGACAATGCATGTGGCCTGATGATTGTGTTTAATATGAAACAGTCTGTCACCTTTGAGTGTTGACTTTATGTAATTTGGTTACTATTTAGCAAGTTGTTAATATAATGTCTAAGAATAGAGAGAAAAAGAAGAGACACAAACCTTCAATTGATTTAGCCAATCCCATAAAAGAGCAGCCAAAACGAAAGGGTCTGATTCAGTGGCAATAGATTTCCAACTGTCATCACAACTGTTCAGTTGTCGCTATTGGAGAAGTGAAGATGAAATTGAAGGTAAAGTGCAGAAAATAAGCATTAAAATTTAGAGATTTCAGGTGGCATCACTAAAGATTATCAAACAATTATTCCGTCTAAATCTCAGGAACTGATTATTTAACAACATGTGTAAGGTTTCTAAATAAAATGGTTTTATAGTTCAAATCTTGTTACTATTGCTATACATGTTTCTAGGATTTTTTTTCTTTTTTTTTTTTAAAAGATGAAAAGGAAGAGAATAATAACATCCTGGGAAACAACATTTATAGAGTCTAAGTAATATTCTTGTATCTGCCAACAATTGCATCAATTACACCATATTTGGTGTTGAGTTGATTAAACCTTTAAAGTTCTATTGAAAAACCTTAAGTAGATGTCAAGGAGTATTTGATTTAAAAAAAAAAAAAAAAAAATCCCGTTTGATAGATTTACATAAAAAAAAGAAAAGGACACTGATAAGAAATTCTGTGGGTGCCTTTCATCCTCTAGGATTTCATGAGAGGAAACACAGTTTTTTTTTCCACTTTGTCATTCATTTCCCTAAAACGTCTGATATATAGACATGCATCATATTTTTAAATTTATTAATGAATAAAAAAAAAAAAAATTAAGTTACTTGCATTATTTACATTATTCGGACTGTTATCCTCATTCACACTGCCCAATGGATGAAGACATTGGTTAGATTTGTTTTTTTTTTTACACCCAAAGAGTTGAGAGTTCAGTGGTAAACCAAAACCAAGTTGAGATAAAGGTTTTTTAACTGAGACATCCAGAAGAGGCATGGCACCTGAATTTGAACACTTATTTTTTTTGGATGAAATAAAGAGTTTGGTTTGAAATTCCAATCACCTGAAGAAGGCCAAAATGTAGAACGGCTGCGTGAATATGGCAATGAAGATTAGGATAACAGTTCAAATAATGTAAATAATGCAAGTAATCATAATACCTCATCTCAGAGATATAGACAGATATAAAAAAAATAAATTAGTGTAGCCATCAAAGTGTATTTAATATATAGAGGTAGACTTCTTGTTTTCTAGTTCTGATTTAGTACTGCTAATATTTAGTTAGTACTTGCTTGCCCTATTTCCACTGAGTACCAGTCCACACTGCCAGATCCAGTGGTTGTACTCACAACCACTGTGTCACCAAATTCACAAAGCAACATTTTAATCCACTAGGCCATTCTCCCATAGGACAATTTGCTGTAATGAACGTGGAGCCTTAAACCTAACCTGCCTGCTGACTAGGGTTTTTGCTGCTTCTGTAATTTGTATTTCTTTTTGTATGTATTAATGTAAAAAAGAAGAAAAAAAGCACAGAGAAAAGAATTGATGATGTGATCAGTTACAACTCAAAGACAGTGGACAAACCTTGAGCTCATTTTTCCGCTTGGTAACATCATCATTAAATGTTGAATTACATAATGCAATTGCAATTTCTTGAGCCTTCAGACAGGTCACTTCAGTTTCTGTCATTTGCTTCCACCAATCTTGCAGGTTGTAACAATTTAAGGGTCTTTTTATTGAGCTAAATTTAAATTTTCTCCATTTCCATTCAGGATAACGGATTCATTTTCTTTCTCACACTCCTTGTCACTCGGGGCATTATTGAATGCTTTGTCACTATCCAGTGATTATCGAAAAAAAAACATTCTTTGTAGAAATACTGGGAAAAGTGTCTGCAGAACTACTTGCTTCCTGATTTCCATTTTTGCTGCTTTTGGATTCAAGTTGCAGACTATTTAAATCACTCTCAGCTCCCTTCAGATCAACAGGCCTTTTAGCAAATGTTGAAGACAATGAATTTCCACGGCCAGCAAGTTCCAAAAGGCGTTCACATACAAAATAAATAATCTGAAAATGAAAAAGGAGGAGGAAAATTTTATTAGAAAAAAAAAAAAACAAGAAAATGAAAATTAAATAAAACTGCTTTCCTTTAATTGTGTAAGAGGATTTGTTTTTGTCTTCCAACATCATGGCTGATGCTAACTTAATGAAGAGTACCTCATGACTTAACAGAGTAATATTTTCCACTGTCATTGAATCAATTGTTTGTAAAATTGGTTTATTGTGTCATGCTAGACAATTTCCATACAGAATCTATCTTGCATCATTATAAATCCACCATTCGACCATGCACTGATCTGGGGCTTTTATGTATCTAGAGATTTTTAACAAAATCCAAAGAGGAATTTAAAAAAAAAAAAAAATCACCCCATACAAGGCAGTAAAGCCACTAAGAAACAAGGAGTTACAGGTTGTGGAAGAATTAAGAAGAGAAATATTAATAATAAGCGAGAAAAGGAAAGAGTAATTGGGAGGACAGTAGATAGCGATTGACACCGCATTTAAATTTTTGCAGATTAAATTTGGCTGGAAAGCCGGAGCTAGGAGTTCCACAAGTGAGAAATCTACTTTATTATTGGTCTTGACCTGGCATCTCAGCCTCAGTCATTTCCCCCCATCACTGTGATATAGCTTCCCTGTGATTTTTTTTTATAAATACTTTCATGCTAATTGTTACAAGGAGCTTCATGAATTTAAGTGCATTACTAGATTGGCAGCTAGGTCTCATCATATTACTGTTGAAATGGCTAAAAATGTAATTGTAAAGTTCTATTTTAATTTTTTCTTCTCGTACTTCTTGCTTGTGGAACTCTCTTCTTGCTATCTTGTTGTTGACTATCATTTTCAAAAATTTAAATGCAACATCAATCATTATCTTCTGTTTCATTAAATGCTCGTCTTTTATTGTCTTCTCTCCATTGTTTCCTTTGCTTTCTGTAACCCATTGCATCTTTATCGACTTGCTTAGCATGAAATGATTAGAAAAAAAATGTCTTCTGAACACATGTATAACTTTATTTTAGTAATGTCTAATAAAAGACTAAATTTTTCATGCATAAAATTGTTTATTCACTTTTGAATTGCCAGTTATGAGGGGGTATGGTATGGGTTTAATCTTTACGGTGTGAGGGATTCTTTCCCCTTACAGGTAGGGGAGGGGTATATAACTTCCAGTCGTGCAGTTTTTTTTGTGTGTATATCCTAAGTTCAGCTTGGTTGACTTCCTGCTTACATGTTTGGCGCAGCCCCTAGCATCATTTGAGGCCCAATTCTGCACTTGGTGGCTATGAGGTCAGCTTCTAGGTCAATTTTGGTCATATTTTGGTATCAAAGACTGACATCAATTTTGATTTGTACCTTTGATATTTCCTAGAATGAATCGCATATTACACATTTATTTGGCACACTGATATCTATGAGGGTAATGTATTGTCAAGTATTATAAAAAGTACACAAAAGACCAAAGACTTGGGACCACCCTCTGGATTTAGTAATTAATAAGTTTCATGACCTTCTTTGATTTATCTAACTCCTTCTAAGCTAGGATGCTGTAACTATTTAACACATTAGGGCATGATGCCCAATTTTTTAGCGAGGGAGGTTCCTTAAATTTTAAAATCTATCAGCCCTAAGATTACCTTTAGTCAGCAAGGTAGTTTAAGCAAAGAGAGATAAAATCTTCAAGAAACTTTATGCAATAAATGGATAATTTTGTTATTATTATTATTGAATATATGATGAGGCCCTTCAGGAAGAGAAAGTCCTCTGGCCTGAGGTGAGTTTGGAAATTAATTTTGGAAAAAACACAAAACATTTAACTTTTAGATGATTCCTCAAAATCCAGAGAGTGGGGCCAAAATTTTGGTCTATAATGCATGTGATATACAATGATTATAAAAAGAATAGATAAGGTTTTTATTAGTAATTTTGAGAACAGAAATTATAAAATTTAATGAAAGAAAAAGATATTTGAATGAGAGAAACGCGTCAGAGCAGTCCAAAATTATTTTAAAAATTTACCTTAGGAATGTATTTTAATTTTCGTCCTTCGTAGCCATGAAGTAGTTTTCTTTGTCGGCTTAAATACTGTTGTAAGGTGAGTTCACAGGAAACATCCTCTCTGTCAAAAATAAAAAAAAAGCTATTATTGTATACTAGAAACGAGAGCAACATGATATATATTCAAATCTTAACAGTATTTACTATTTAACGTTTTTGGTTGTAATGTGGATTTATTTAGAAAAAAATATTATGCTTTGTTTTACATAATTTTATGACACGTGTTTCTGGTCTCGCGACCGTCTTCAGGTAAAAGCCGGGATTTCCACATATTATTAAAAATAATTAATTTTTTCCTTATGTTCAATGTTAAATATTCTCGATATGAGACATTCTCTGTTTTTGTGTTAGTAATCCGAATTTCTTTCTTGAATTTTTTTATATATATATATATATATATATATATATATATATATATATATATAAATAATCTTAGATATGCAAAAAACAATATTGCATTTTTTATTAAGTAAGTATTTGTTATTTTAATCATTAAATTGTTTTTAGAATAGTGGGAATATTTTGTATGTTTAATATTAAAACTTATAATTTTTCCCTCTAAAATATTAATGAAACTTTATTGTACTAAGCCACGCATCCTAGTAAAACCAATTGTACTTTGTACCCTCTTACCTGTTTGCACTTCACCCTAAAATTTGGTTTTGATCAGTCAATGTATAGCTATTTTAGAGGATGTGATGGATGGACTAATAGAAGTCACAGAATTATATAAAATACAGTTCATATATAATTATAGTCTGGAACAGGCCAAGATGTAATCTGAGAATTGGAGATGCCAAAACAAAGAAGTACAGAAACTGAAAAGTACACTATTTACATTATTTGGACTATTGTCCTCATCTTTGTTACCAGTTTACATAATACCTCATCTCAGAAATATAGACGGATACCAAACTGAAAAGTGTTTTAACAAACGAAAAATGACACTGAAATTCAAAAGTATAACAGAATAGCAAAAGATGCCTTCCAAAACCTCAAAAGACTAAATTCTTAAGAATCATAATTGACAAAAAACTTAACTTCTTAAAACACATAAATAATCTAAAAGAAAAATGCCAAAAGAACACTAAACTTCAATTATGAACTACGGAGTAGGCCCCAAAATAATATTAAAAATTTATTGATCACACATAAGATCTAAATTAGATTATGTCTGCATCACCTACAGCTCCACTCATAAATCTTAGATAAAAAAAAAACTACTATCAATCCAGAACCAGTGACCGAGAATCAGTTCAGGTGCCTTCCGGACTTCATCCATGGACAGCCTTCACATAGAAGGCCAACGAACCTGCATTACACCTAATGTTTGAAAAAATGATCGCTGAAAGTCTCATTAAAACTTCAAAGAAACCCAAATAATCTAGGTTGGCATCTCAGTCCAACCCTTTCACTGTCGAAATGGTTAAATGTAGTTGTCTCTTCTACTCCAATAGGTTCATGTCTTGCACTTCCCATCTGTGGAACTCCCTTCCTCTTACTTGCCTCCCTGACAGTTATAGTCTTCAAATATTCAAATGTAATGTCAATCGACATCTTCTGATGCTTTGATGTAATTCTGCCCTTCTTCTCTTCATCCTTTCCTCAATCACACCTCTTTACTCTTGCTCCCACTCTCTGTAACCCCTTGTGTGCTAGTGGCACTCCCACCTTGCTTAGGCCATCCTGGGTATGATGATAAACCACATCCGCATCCAGCAGCAAGGCATCTGATCAGGTTTTGAGAAGCGTAGAACCACCTCTTAATTGCTGGTGTTTCCAGGTCTACCCTGACATGGGGTGGTAGCACCTGTTAGGGTCCCAGCTATGGGCAAATAGTTGACACCCAAACTTGTGTAAAAATAGGTTTTAATACCAGAAATACTTTGGAATAAAAAAAAATATTACCAGCAATAATTTTTGAAGGAAAATTTATTATCAGCAATACTTTAAAAAAATACCAGCAATACAAACAGCTATACATTCTTTGGAAAAAATATGATGAGCTATTGATTTCTTCAAGGAAATATATTCCCAGAAATAGATTTTAGAAGAAAAACATTACCAGCAATAAAAATTTTGTCAGTATTAAATAAGGTTGATATGCCATAAAACAAAACAAAACAAACCAAGACCAAACCTTGCTTAGGGTGAAATGCTTTAAAAAAAAACAAAAAAAACAAGCTTCCATATTTACACCTGAGCATTAAGATGGTGCATGAACTCATTAAAAACTCAAGCCACCAGAAATTCATCTCCATAAATTTTCTGTCAAGTCTTGCAGCTCTGAAAAAAGGCAAAACTAAACATCCAAACAACTAGACATGTTAGAAATCTATAGTAAAAGAGTCAAATCACAAAAATTAGTCCTCTTAGCCTGGATTCCAAGTCATGTTGGTATACTGGGCAATGAAAGCCCTAACCAAGAAATACATGCGATTTAAATGGACTGAAGATTGTCAAAGGTCCTTTGATAGTCTGAAGGAGCAGTTTACGGCTATACCCCTGCTGACCTGGGTCAACCAATGATTTTACAGATGCCAGTAATAGTTGCATAGAAGCTGTACTTTCTCAACCATGTCTGGATGGAGACAAACCCATAACAAGCATTCCGGAGGAGATGCCCATGTACTTTCTGTCACACAGATTTTCCAAAACCCAGCGAAGGTGGCTAGTAATAGAAAAGGAAGCATTTGCTATCATGTACACTGTACAAAAGCTTGACCATTACCTGAGTGGGGCCGTATTCACCATTAAAACTGATCATCAGCCTTTCAAGTATTTGTTGGAAGCTGAATTGATGAATTGAAAGATCCAGCAGTGGGCTTTTAAATCGAGTGGGTACAACCGTAAAATTGAGTATCTGGCTGGTAAGGATAAAACCTGTGCGAGATGGAATCAGTCAGACTAGAACCAAGTGTGGATGATAGGACCGACTACATTCAAGGAATTAACTCTCATCCTTTAAGGGAGTGCCCTGTGTGGAATGATACTGACGAAGAGGAGTCTTAGGTGATAATCGATCACCATTAGAGAGAGGTAATAAAACAGGGACAGCAGTATATCGAAATAGCCGATATCAGAGTTAAAGTGGAATTAGAAAATACCTCAAAGTATATTATTTAGGATGGGATGCTGTATTATATGTCCGAAAGAAATGGAGAAACTAGACCCTTGCCGGTCGTGCCTGAGGTGTTAAGATTTGATATTCTGGAAGCAAGTCATGAAAAGATGGGTCATATGGGGGTGGATAAGATTTACAATCTGATCATAAAGAAATATTTCTGGCTTAGTTTGTACAAGGAAGTGATGGCTTATGTGGGTCGCTGTGTGATTTGCTAAGCATAAAGTAGGAAACTGAAGTGGGTTCCATGGATGGAGACTGATGTCTCTTACTTTCCATTTCAGAAGGTCAGTATGGATATTTTAGGTCCTTACAAGGAAATTATTCATGGAAACTTATATATTGTGAATTTTGTAGATTGGTTGACAACCTGCCTAGATGTTTTCGCCATACCTGATGAGAGGGCCCAGACCGTAGCTGATTTAATTTTAACTGAGACGTTTCTGAGATATGGAACTTTTGAACAGATTTTTATGGATAATGGCCTGGAGAAAGTTAATCAAATAATGAGGCTATAGCTAGCCTAATATTTCCTATGTGACGACATTCCCCTATCACCAACAGGGCAATGCGAAAGTGAAATGTTTCCATAAAACTTTAGCGGACGTGTTAGCCAAATTAACCGGCGATAATGAAGATGATTGGGATTTATTTTTGATGCAGGCGTTAGCAGTGGTGAAGTTTACTGTGAATGAAACCTCTCAGTATTCCCCATGTTTTTTGCTGTTTGGTAGAGACGCAATTTTGACAATCAATATTATGTTAAAGCCCCGTAGACCACCACAAATTGCTATTATAAAAGCAGCATCAGATCTTTATCCAGGTGAGGTGAAGAATTGATCAGGGCCCAGAAGAGATGTAATGAGAATAAACTGAGATAAAGATGGAGTAGAGCTACAAGTGGGAGATCCAGGATTTTATAAGATCCAGGATTTTATAAGATCCAGGATTTTATAAGATCCAGGATTTTATAAGATCCAACAAAGAAGTGAAAACTGGATAAGAGATGGGAACCACATTATCAAATAGTAGAACAAACAGGCCCCCCCCCATCTTTTGTTATTTGGGATCAGTTGACAGGTTGAATGAAGAGAGCGCATGTGAGTGATTTAAAATGGGTCGAGTTGAGAAGAGAAAAATTAGAAAGTACATGCTGGTAGTTCCAGAAAAAAATGGAGACTGGTAATGAATCCATTATTGGAGGTGAGGAAAGCAATGAGAACTGTCAGAACTTAAGTGAGATATCAAATCGGGGTATTGTCAAGAAGGAAACCTCAGAAGCAAAATGAAAACAAGACGATAGAAAGACCTGGAGAGGAGGACGAAGATGAGAAATGGTACAGAGAAGATGAGTTACTGCTGTCATATCTTAAAAAAAAGGAAATGGGGATGAAAAGAAGGAGCTTGAAACGGAGGCTACATAGTGCTGCTCAGAAGAGAAGGAATAAAAATTATTCTATCTAGAAAAAAAAAAGTATAAAAAAAAAAATGAGATCTTTATGAATGAATTGTTTGTGAATATAGTAACAGTAATTAGCAATTGTAAGTTAACAGGATAACAGAAGGTGACAAGGTTACATGGGCGCTGATCAATGAGCCCAGATAAGAAATATCCCAGTGTAAAAAGGGAGTTCCAGTGAATTCATTCATAGTATTATTATGAATGAATGTGCCTTCAGCTGTAGTAAATAAGAAAGTTTGTTGACAAGCCAACAGTGACAAGCAGTCCTCAATTATAATCAAATAATGGAGACTGCAAGCCTGGAAGGGGGGGGGAGTAAGACTACCGTAATTAAAAAGACAAGGAGGCAATTATGACCAGGTGTAAATGTTTGATTACACTGGTAATTGATTTAAAACCATACGATGAATTGTTCGACAAATTAAGGGAGGAAATGTGATGACTAACCCGGGCTAGAATGCATGTAGCCCAGTAATATTTGAGGGATGAGGGCCATGCCTGTTTGTTATTTTCATTAGGTCAGGAGATGGAAATAATGGAAAGACAATGGAAGGAAATGAGTTTCTATTTGAGAGCGGTGTCACTGTTACAGACTTGTGAAAGGTAATCAGTGCTGCCTATAGTAGGAAAAGCATTAAGTGCATTGATTGGAATGGTTTCTGAAGAAGGTGTCAAATTTATTAGATGTAAACTAAAGGATGTGCAAGCAAATCAAAAGACCCTGGGCCACAGAGAGAGTGTATCGATTTTAAATGTAACTCAAATAGAGTTGGCAGAAAATCATGGTAGCATAAATTGGTTAATTGATAACATGGTTACTCTTCAAGAAGAGATAGATAATTGCACAGAGTTAGTATGGACAAAGCTGAGGACCTTAGAGGGATTTGTTTAGCAGTATTCTCAGTGAATGTTGATCGTTAATATGGTGCAATTAACCAGTCAATCTCTAAACACCCTGCTGGAGCATGTAAGGGCTCAGCTGGATATGTTGTCATTGGGACATTTGTATAGTCACCCCTCATTGCTTAAAAGATTTTTTATTGAGATTACAGAAAAAACTCCCACATCACTTGGTTACTGGTGGACCCGGCAACCAAACTTTGAAAGTACTATAGTGCTTTGGGCTGTGTCACTCTGCTGGAGAACAACAAGCTATTGGTATGACTGTATTTTATTAGCCTATGGGCCTCAAGAGGTCAGAATCCGGCCCTGAAGATACCCTATATAGACTTCAGAAACAAAACAAAAGAACATATCAAAAGAAAATGGCGTGCAATATGGGACTCAAAACTTAACTATATGATATTCAATCAACTATAGGAGAATGGCTCCCAGGTTTCAGAAAAAATCATACAGGAGGAAATAGTTTTATGGAGACTTTGAATAAGATATACACATCTAACATGCTTCTACTGAAAAATGAAACTCCTCCATCATGCAACAAATTTCAAGTACGTTTCCTGGTTGAACATATATTAAGTTGCCATAATTTCAGTCAAACCTGAACAAAATATCAAATAAACAATACAAAAGAATCAAACAATATCCTTAACTTCTTAAAGGAAATCAAACTTTATATCAAAATATAAAAACTCCCCTCAAAACTACAGAAATATATAAAATATATACATAAAATATATTTTTAAAACTGGAAAAAAAAAGAAGTAAAAAAAAAGAACATTTCAGTCTTTATAAAATTCCCTACTAAAAGTAACAATGCAAACTTAACCAACTTGTATCAGAAACTGAATACAAAATAACTTTTATTAGAAGCCAGCATCTCTAATAACTGATAAAAAGAAAAAAAGGTAAATTCACCAAGTAACCCTAACCCCAAATTATCACTGATCCACATATAGCATCAAGCTATAACCAAAACAATCATTGATTCAAAACCTTTATTTGGCCTTAAATAACCCTATATTTGTTGATGGATCATTGATCAGAAACCAAACCTTACAAAAGCTAAACAAACAAATTATATCTTGTTACTATTTTACAATTGTCTATAAAGAAATTGGTTAAGGCCTTCAAAATAAATTAGTTTCTCTATTTGGAAAGTAATCATTTCAGTTAATATGTGAACATAGAATTTTGTTAAGCCAGAGAAAATCAGGAACTGACGGGAATGTGAAAATGATCCAAAGCTGCTGCAAATAGTCTGCAAAATCCTTAAGGCATTGCATTTGTCTTCTGGTCTGTATTGATCGCGGCCTAAAGTAGAAAGAATTTGTATTGACTGATAGATAAATGCAAAGAAGCAAAGAGACAAGAAGCAAAGAGACAAATCAGAAATGGAGAAAAAAAAAAAAATGAAATTTGAAAACAATGAACATCATTAAGAACTATTTTTTGCTTCAGTTTATTTAATTTTTTTTTTAAAGATTAAAAAAAAAGTCAATTTAGTTACTCATTGTCTTACTTTTTCTAAAATAATTTTGGATATTTTAGAAAGTGCGATTGTTTTTTAAAATGAAAAGAAATCTTAAACTGAAAAGTTGTACATCTCAATCAAGCTTCAAATGTTTTATATCTACTTTTTACTTATTTTTCTCTTTAAGTAACAAACTTTCTAGGCAGAGATGCAATAGACACGTTTAAAAAAGTGAAAAGGCATAAACACAAAATTTCTATGTGACATTTTAGGCCATTATTAACTCAAGATATAACTTGCAATCAGCTTCTTCTTTTTCCATGATGTCAGAAGAATTTTACTGTTTGAGTACAAATAACATTTTATGAGAGAGTACAAACCTTTTTTCCCTAACGTAATGAATAGCGTCATTGGCTGACATTCGATTTGTGAAGACGAGGTAAGAGCAAATCAACAATCCCGTACGACCTACAGAAAGAAAAAAAAAATAGGCTTGAATAGGAAACTCCATTAATCAGGACTGAATGAAATCAAAATTTAATTGAGTATTTGAAAACAGAAACTGCAGTTGATTGTCAAAGATAAATTATATGTATTATGCATAAAATGATGTACCTGAGATAAACATTTTTATTACTGAAGAATTAAAGATTGAAAGCACTTTTGACTGTAGCTTCAATAATAAAACTCGACATTTGGCAATCCCCCCCCACCTTTTTTTTTTTTTTTTTTTTTTTTACGTCGAGGAAATCTAGAAATTTGCAAGTGACTAATTCTAATGGGTAGAAACAGGAAAAGTGGTTAAAATCAAAGCCTCCCTAAGGAAACATCAAATATACACTGGCCTCAAACATTTTAAAAGAGATTGAAGGAACAAGAAATGAATTTCTTTTTTAAAATCTACATAATTATAAAATAAAGTTTTCATTAAATTTTAAAATAAAGAAAAAAAACAACTCATTATTAATAAAAAAAACGAAAATACAAAATTTGTGTTGAGTATAAATTTAACAATAAGATCTCAGAAGAATTTTGGTATGTGTGTCTCTTAGAATTAAAATGTCACTTAAAAGTGATAAGCAAAACAGAGGAAAAAAGATTTCTTACATCTGCTTTAAACATTTTCGTTTTAATTCTTAGCTGACAAGGCATTATAGTTTTGAAGTGTGAGTTTTTCTGATAAAATTGCCTTTAAATGAAATTACAACTTTTACAAATAAAAGTAATCAAGCCTAATACTTTCCTCTACACGTTAAATTTTCATTTGAAAATTGTCTATGCTTAATACTAGAAAATGGAGACAAAGTCTAAAAATTGCATAATTTAAAATTTTATATGAAAATTATTTTAATTAAAAAATCAAACTTGAATTGACATAATTTAATTTGCTATGAAAAGAAAACAATTCACTAATTTCCTATAAAAAATGCTTATTGGAATCTTCTGGAATATCTAAGTGACTAAAATTGAATTCATTTTATTGTATTTAAGAAATCTGACAAATTGAAAAAGTTTCTTTGAAAATAGATTTGATTATGTGTTTCACCTTCCTTGGCTTTATCAGGTCAAAAATGTGTGTATGCTTAAATAAAGAATCATAGTACTTTTTCCTTATTATGTTTCATTATTTAAGCATACAGCCAATATTCTAGGCCTGCATGCCTAGAAAGTTGAAATGTGTAAGCATATATAGTTTCAATGAAATGTTTTTCATTAGGCAAATTTCTTAAAATCTTTGATAAGATTCTATATCCTATTTTAAACATATTTTATTGCATAAAAAATGAGCCTGCAATTTTTCATGTATCAACTTACCAAGACCTGCATGGCAGTGGATGGCTACTTTGCCTTGTGACAAAGCAAACTGCATCACTCGGACCATATCCAAAATCATACCATTTGAAGAAGCACCAAAATCAGGGCTAAGAATTGAGAGAGAACAACTTTGACAAAAACTCATTTTAATCATAAACATTTGGCAAATGGCATTTTTGTTTACTTAATCCACCTTTAACCACTGCATTCTTTGCTTTCATTACATTTGAAATAAAGCATTTTAATTTTCAAGATTAATATAACTGTTTTTCACTTCTGCAATTCAGCTCAAAGTTGTCAAGTTTGTTGCAAACATGTATAATATTTCTTCTGTAAGTGGCTTGGATTGCATTTACAATGTTTGTTTTTAAATTTCTTTTTGTCATCTGATCTTATGTAAATTCTGTAACAATTCTCCATTTGCAAAGTGTTATTTAAACTGAGCAATTTATAAATCCATGCATGAGAAGCTGATTAGAAAATGTATGTCAGTTCCAACAACACTTTGATTTGGATGAAATAGACAAAGAAAAAAAAACAAAATGTGGGGTTTGAAGCAGAGAGATTATTAGGTCATTACAGTAATTTGATCCCATGTAAGACAGGCACTTATCTATATTTCTTAATTAAATATACAGAACTGGCAAAACATCTATGTGCGATATAGATGCATGTTTTATCAACTTAATGTTTTCAAAGACTAATAGGCATTCATTTTTTGTGGATAAAATTGAAATAAAAACAAAGCAATAAAGATTTTGTAAATACAAAGTAAATAAAAAAAATTCACAAAATTAGATGTTAACAAAACTCAAACATTAATAAAAATTAGTAGACTATGTAGTCAAGTATTGTAATTCTGATGAATAGAGGGTGCAGTAGAATTAGTCCAGAAATAGGACAAGAACAGTGCAAGTTTGTTAAAGACACTGGAACAAGGAATGCAATATTTCTGCTCAGAATGTTTTGTTTTGTTTTAAAGCATATCAACATCTCAATGGGTTATTTAATGCTGACAAGATTTTTATTGCTGGTAATATTTTTTTCCAAAAATGTATTGTTGGAAATAATTTTTTCTTCAAAAATTCATTGCTGGTATTAAAACCTATTTTTACACTTTTATAGTGTTTTGACCCCAGTTTGGGGGTTAATTATTTGCCCATAGCTGGGGCCCTAACAGGTGCTACCACCCCAGGTCAGGGTGGATGTGGAAACATCAGCAATTAAGAGGTGGTTTGATGCTCCTCAAAACCTCCTAATCAGAGGTCTTGCTGTTGGATGTAATCTATCGTCTTACCCAGGATGTGGATGTACTTTATCGTCTTACCCAGGACGCGGATGTAGTTTTTCGTCTTACCCAGGACGACACATGTAGTTTATTGTCTTACCACAACATGCAAATTACAGATTGGAGATACCAAAGTCAAACAAGTACAACAATTTAAATATCTGGGAAGTGTCATAACAGAGGACAGAAAGCATAACACTGAAATCTGAAAGCACATTTAGATAGTGAAAAATGCCTTCCAAAAGCTAAGCAAAATATTAAGAAACAAGAAAATACTGTTACAAAGAAAAGATTTCTGAACTGTTATATAATATCAGTCCTCCTGTATGGCATTGAATATTTATAAAGTGAAATCAGATTTCACTGTCTGTTGGATTTGTCAATAAATTTATGGAGGGAGGCGATTGTAAGAAAATTAGAAGTCCTACATTATTAGCGGTCACAAGCCTAACCACGTAATATATACAGATAACACAGTGTTGATAGCCGATACAGAAAGGAGACTACAAGAACTCCTACAGAAAGTAGTGAAGGAAAGCAGGAAGAAAGGACTAAACATTAATTGCAAGCAAATAGAATGTATAGTTGTTAGCAAAAGGAACACTCCAACATGCAAATTACAGATTGGAGATACCAAAATGAAACAAGTACAAAAATTTAAATATGTGGGAAGTGTCTTAACAGAGGACAGAAAGTGTGACACTGAAATCTTAAGGCACATTGGGATGGCGAAAGATGCCTTCCAAATACTAAGCAAAGTATTAAGAAACAGAAACATTTCATAAGATACACAGGAAAGAGTACTGAACTGTTTTGTAATATGAATCCTCCTATAGGAAAGTGAATGCTGGCAAATTAAGAAGAGATTTGCAGAAACAGAAATGTGGCTCTATAAAAGGATGCTGAGAATAACATGGAATAAACATGTGAGCAATGAGGAAGTTTTAAAAACAATGAAAACAAAAAGGAAACTTATACTTATCAGGAAGAGAGAGTTGAAATTTCTAGAGGAAAAAGGGCTTGGAAAATGTGATACTTACAAGACAGATTGAAGGCAAGAGGGACAGAGAAAAATAATTCAAGAATTGTGGAGAGCCATGATTGCCAACTTCCTTACGGGACACGGCACATTGAAGAAGAAGGAGGATGCTATACTAGACAGAAGGATAAATTGTTTAGCTGCTCAAATTGTTTAAGAAAAAAGAAAAATGGAACAAAACAAAAGAAAAAAATAACTTACCAACTAAAATTGTAAACATATACTGAAAAAAAAAAGAAAGAAAAAAGCCATCAATGTTATATAAAAGTGGACAAAAAAGTGTATGCACAGCTTACAAAACAAACAGCTAATTCCTTTAAAAGGAAAAAAAATATCAAAATGCATGAATAAACATTAAAAAAATATATAACTAAAATAAAAACATTATACAGTAAAAATTCAATTAAAACCAAGGATTTTATTGGAATTATTTTCGTTCAATAATTGTTTTATAGTTTTTAAAATAATTATTTGTATAATTAACACATTTTTAAATCAGACAAGGTTTCCACAATTAATAATTATTAATGATGTAGGCAAAAACTTTCAAGATTGAGATTACATTAAATATAAATGTTTCTACTTGTATTATTTACATTATTTGGAGTGTTATCCACATCATCATTACCATAAAAAATTTTGGCCATTGTACACTTCTGGCCATCAGATCATTGGATCTTTGAGATGAGGTATTATGATTACTTGTATTATTTACATTATTTTGTTATCTTCATCATTTCATTGCCATATTCACAATGTTTTTGATGATTGAATATGAGATGATGTATTATGATTATTGTATTATTTGATTATTGACTTTTGTTATGATCATCATTGTATTTCACAACGTTTTATTTTGACTGTGTTATCCACATGATGAATTACCATATTCACATTATTTTTGGCCATTGTATCCATTATGATTGGCCTTATTCAGATGATTGGATTTTTGAGATGACGTATTATGATTATGTATTATGATTTGATTATTATTTACATTATTTGGAGTGTTATCCTCATCATCATTACCATATTCACAACGTTTTGCATCTATCTCTGAGATGATGTTTTTGGCCATTATTATTTACACTGTTCTTCAGATGATTGCCATATTTGAGATGATGTATTATGATTCTATATTCTTTGAGATGTCATCATTTTACATTCAATTATTTGAGACATCATTTGAATTGCATTATTCCTCATTTGGACATTGCCTCGTTCACAATGCCTTCTTCATCTATATCTCTGAGATGATGTATTATGATTACTTGTATTATTTACATTATTTTGACTGTTATCCATCATCATTCATCAATTGGCATCTATATTCTGAGATGATGTATTATGATTTTGGCCATTATACACTGTTATCCTCGTCTTCAGATCAGAATTGGATCTTTGAGATGATGTATTATGATTACTTGCATTATTTACATTATTTGAATGTTATCCTCATCATCATTGCCATATTCACAACATTTTGGATGATGTATTTCATTATCTGTCTATTTTCTCTGAGATGATTGGATCTATTATGATTACTTCATTATTTACATTATTCATTATTTGATTGTTATCCACATCATTTTCATTGCGTCATCATTATTCACAACGTTTTGGCATCTATATCTCTGAGATGATGTATTATGATTACTTGCATTATTTACATTATTTGGACTGTTATTGATCATCTTCATTGCCATATTCAATTTATTTTTGACTATATTTGAGATGATGTATTACTTGCATTATTTACATTATTTTGACTGTTATCCTCATCATCATTGGCATATTCACAACGTTTCGGCATCTATATCTCTGAGATGATGTATTATGATTCCTTGCATTATCTTGAGATGACTGTTATGATTATCATTGGCATATTCACAATTTTCGGATTCTATATCTCTGAGATGATCATTATGATTATATTCACAATTTTTGATTGTTACCTCGTCATCATTATTTCACATTTTCATCTATATTTGAGATGAGGTATTATGATTTTTGTATTATTTACATTATTTTGACTGTTATCCCATCTTCATTGCCATATTCACAATTTTGTACATCTGGCCTTCTCTGAGATGATCTTTGAGATTATGATTACTTGCATTATTTACATTATTTGGACTGTTATCCTCATCATCATTGCCATATTCACAACGTTTTGGGCATTGTTATATCTCTGAGCCTTGTTCAGATGATTATTTGATATTTTGAGATGATTATGATTACTTACACATTATTTACATTATTTGGACTGTTATCCACATGCATTATTGCCATTATTTTGACTGTTTTTGGAAATCATCATTGGCCCTTCTTCTGATGATCTATATCTTTGAGATGATGTATTATGATTATTTGCATTATTTACATTATTTGGACTGTTATCCTCATCTTCATTGCCATATTGATTTTGGATGATTCTTCAGATATATCTTTGAGATGACGTATTATGATTACTTGCATTATTTACATTATTTTGACTGTTATCCATCTTCATTGCCATATTCACAACGTTTGCCATCATTTATTATCTCTGAGATATTTCTGAGAGTAATTATGATTACTTGCATTATTTACATTATTTTGACTGTTATCCTCATCATCATTGCCATATTTCACAACGTTTTGGCTGTATCCTCATCTATATATATCTCTGAGATGAGGTATTATGATTACTTGTGTATTATTTACATTATTTGGACTGTTATCCTCATCTTCATTGCCATATTCACAACGTTTGGAAATTGGCATCTATATCTTCTTGAGATGAGGTCTTTGAGATGACGTATTATGATTATATTACATTATTTGGACTGTTATCCTCATCTTCATTGCCAGCGTTTTCACAATTGTTTTGGCCTTCTTCAGATATATCTCTGAGATGACGTATTATGATTACTTGCATTATTTACATTATTTTTGTGTTATCATCATCTTCATTGCCATATTCACAACGTTTTGACCTTCTATATCTCTGAGATGATGTATTATGATTATTATTTGCATTATTTACATTATTTTGACTGTTTATCCTCATCTTCATTGCCATATTCACAACGTTTTGGCCATCTATATCTTTGAGATGATGTATTATGATTATTTGCATTATTTACATTATTTGGACTGTTATCCTCATCATCATTGCCATATTCACAACGTTTTTGGGCATTCTATATCTCTGAGATGATTATATCTATGATTATTTTGCATTATTTACATTATTTGGACTGTTATCCTCATCTTCATTGCCATATTCACAACGTTTTGGCCATTCTATATCTCTGAGATGATTGGATTTGAGATATTATGATTACTTGCATTATTTACATTATTTGGACTGTTATCCTCATCTTCATTGCCATATTCACAACGTTTTGGCCATCTATATCTCTGAGATGATCTTTGAGATGACATTATGATTACTTGCATTATTTACATTATTTGGACTGTTATCCTCATCTTCATTGCCATATTCACAACGTTTCTCCATTCTATATCTGGCCTTCTTGAGATGATTATTATGAGATGATGTATTTGATTATTATTATTTACATTATTTGGACTGTTATCCTCATCTTCATTGCCATATTCACAACGTTTCGGCCATTCTATATCTCTTAGAGATGATGTATTATGATTATTTGCATTATTTACATTATTTGGACTGTTATCCTCATCTTCATTGCCATATTCACAACGTTTGGCATTCTCTATATATTCAGATGATTGATGTATTATGATTATTTTTGCATTATTTACATTATTTGACTGTTATCCATCATATTCATTGCCATATTCATCAACATTTTCAGATGATTCTATATTCTGAGATGATGTATTATGATTATTTTGCATTATTTACATTATTTGGACTGTTATCCATCATCATTCATTGCCATATTCACAACGTTTCGGCTTCTTCTATATCTCTGAGATGATGTATTATGATTACTTGCATTATTTACATTATTTGGACTGTTATCCTCATCTTCATTGCCATATTCACAACGTTTTGGCATCTATATCTCTGAGATGATGTATTATGATTATTTGGCATTATTTACATTATTTGGACTGTTATCCTCATCATCATTGCCATATTCACAACGTTTCGGCATCTCTATATCTCTGAGATGATGTATTATGATTACTTGCATTATTTACATTATTTGGACTGTTATCCTCATCTTCATTGCCATATTCACAACGTTTTGGCATCTATATCTCTGAGATGATGTATTATGATTACTTGCATTATTTACATTATTTGGACTGTTATCCTCATCTTCATTGCCATATTCACAACGTTTCTATATCATTCTATAGATGATTGAGATGAGGTATTATGATTGTTATTGCATTATTTACATTATTTGGACTGTTATCCTCATCTTCATTGCCATATTCACATTATTTGACTTTTTTCCATTGGCATCTCACAATCTTTTGATGATGATATTCTGAGATATTATTATGATTACTTGCATTATTTACATTATTTGGACTGTTATCCTCATCTTCATTGCCATATTCACAACGTTTTCGGCCGTTCTATATCTCTGAGATGATCTTCAGATGAGATTTGAGATTATTTGACTTATCTTCATTTATTATTTACATTATTTGGACTGTTATCCTCATCTTCATTGCCATATTCACAACAACGTTGTTTTCCTGGCCTTCTTCAGATGATATTTTGGATCTATATCTCTGAGATGATGTATTATGATTATTTGTATTATTTACATTATTTGGACTGTTATCCTCATCTTCATTGCCATATTCACAACGTTTCTATTCACCTTCTTCAGATCTATATCTCTGAGATGAGGTATTATGATTACTTGCATTATTTACATTATTTGGACTGTTATCCCTCATCTTCATTTCACATATTCACAACGTTTCTCTGGCCTTCTTCTATATCTCTGAGATGATGTATTATGATTATTTGCATTATTTACATTATTTGGACTGTTATCCTCATCTTCATTGCCATATTCACAACGTTTCGGCATCTATATCTCTGAGATGATTTATTATGATGATTGCATTATTTACATTATTTGACTGTTATCCTGATTTCATTGCCATATTCACAACGTTTTTATATATCTGAGATGATGTATTATGATTACTTTGCATTATTTACATTATTTTGACTGTTATCCTCGTCTTCATTGCCATATTCACAATGATCTATATCTC